CTACTTTGTCTTTATTTGTTTGTTTTTTGAGACAGAGTTTCTCTGTAGCTTTGGAGCCTGTCCTGAAACTAAAACCCTTGTAGACCAGGCTGGCCTCTAACTCAAAGAGATCCGCCTGCCGCTGCCTTCTGAGTGCTGGGATTAAAGGTGTGAGCTGCCACCACCTGACTGAAGGCATCTATATTAAAATTAATAGCTTTGGGAAGAAACATTAATTAAAAGTGTCTGTAAATGGGCCTTGCAGACCACTCCAGGGCAGGCTTAGTGTTAAATTGGCCATTTATGAACTTGGCTTGATCAGGCTAGTGCGGTTAGTAAGGAGACCTTGCACCCATTTTCCTCGCTGTTGGCGTGGTGCACTGCTTTGTGACTTTCCTTGAAAGCAGCAAAAAGACTGGGGATGAGTCTGTCCCAGAAAGTTGGTATTTTTGTAAGCTCATATGTTCAGATAAGTAATTGTGATGTTTGCAGAGCTGTAAGGTTAATGCTTATTCATTTTTAATCTTTTGTAGTAAATAATCCTGATTTTAAGGCTGGTGTCATGGCTCTGGCTAACCTCCTTCAGATTCAGCGTCATGATGATTACCTGGTAATGCTTAAGGTAAGGTGCCCATGTTATTCTTGATAGAAACTACATATGTAGAAGAATCTTTACTTTTCTGAAAGCTATCTATTTTTACCTAAGTTTATGATGGGCTGATAAATAGAAATTCAAAAGAATGTGGGACCGAGAGCACACATCATTATTTTATCTGTTTCACGTTGTCTAGTAAGAAGCTGGTATCCAAGCATTAAATGTATGCACACCAATGTGTTTTGTCTTTGTAGAAATAAAATTTCACTCAATCCTAGTAATAATCTTGCTAAGAAATATTAAAAAAAAAAAGAAAAAAGAAAAGAAAAAACAAGTGGGAGTTGGCTTGGCTGTTGGAGTGCTTACCACGTAAGCCTAAGGACTGACTTTGGAACTCAATACATACATTAACAAACAAGCATAAAAATCTCTGCTGGGAAGGCAGAGACAGGTGGATCCCTGGGACATGCTGGCCAGCCATTTGAGCCATGTCAGTGTGAGCCATCTCACACTGATCATTGCCCTAATTTTACTTTTGACAGATATATAAAGGCAATTTAGTAGAGAAAGGCTAATCTGAGAAAAGGTGGAGAGCAGCTAGGAAACACCCAGCACCAGCCTTTGATCTCCACACGTGATGTTCACCCATATGTACAAGTGCACATGAATGTGTACACACATATACCTCACAGCAAAAGAAAAAAAAAGCTTACTAAGAAACTAAGACCTGCTGGACAGTGGTGGCACACGCCTTTAATCCCAGCACTTGGGAGGTGGATCTCTGTGAGTTCAAGGCCAGCTTGGTCCACAGAGCTAGTTCTAGGACAGGAACCAAAGCTACAGAGAAACCCTGTCTCAAAAAACCAAAAGAAGGAAAAGGAAAAAAAGGAACTAAGACCTAGAAGAAGATAAGAAACATGCAAGACATAGACAGTTGTAGAGCCACCTCTGTTCATCGGGTGAGAGTGTGCTGTTGAGGAAGGGGGAAATGCCAAATCACTAATGGTGAACTTAGCTACACAAGACCTCTTTGGGGAACAAATGCTCTCGTCTTCGGCATCTTCCACTTCAATTTATACTCTTCCATCAAGAAACACAGCTCCCTGAAAGAGTTATTTTTGAGAAAGGAAAAACATTCCTTAAGTTTCTGCTGTAAACATAAAGTGGAGTGGGGCAGGAGGATGCAAATGGTAGATTAGATACTGTTGGATAACTGCTGTTATAGGAGATGAAGAGCTTTGAGAGTGACCTTGAGAGTGAAGGTCACTATAAATCACTTTGTAGTAAGTTGAATAAACTTCCCTCTATGCAGAAGGGATTATTATTTATCCTACTTATTAGAATTATATGGGTTACATAGACAGTTTCAACAAAGAGATTAGTATTCTTAGCTTATTTGAATATTCATGTTGTGTCTGAATGGGTTTTCTCAGACCAGCTTAGATGCCAAAGACATCAAGTTGTTGCTAGTTAAATTTAGCTGTTTCAAAGTTGTATTTCCTTAGTCCAGTATGCAGATTTCATTGGGGCAGTCCTACAGTGGTTGTATCACCTTTAGTCATAAACTAAGGGAGGGGAGAAGCAGATAATGCAGTGTATTTGGGGTCCTTTTGCCAAACTTTGAAAATCCAGGAGTATGTGGCTATAACAAAAGTTATAAGTTTTGTGAAGTCCTAGGTCTAGATACATATTTATCTTGTTAGGCATTCACATAGTCGTGATGCTATAGAAGTTTTCTTAGATTTACCAGGCACAAAAGTCAGCATATTAAAGGCTGATGTAGTTCAGTGGTAGAGTGCTTGCTTGGTATGCATTAGAGTTTGGATCAATCCCAGGATTGGGGCAGGGGGTGAGAGTTTGTGTATTAGTGGTCTGGTAAAATAGTAAGCAAGGTATTTTTGGGCTTTCTAGGCAATTCGCATTTTGGTTCAGGAGCGTCTAACACAGGATGCAGTTGCCAAAGCCAATCAAACGAAAGAGGTATGTGTGTTTCTAAGATACTAAGCCATCTAATGGAAATTCCTTCTGGTATTGTGGTGCATTCAAACTTAGTGTTTTCTTAAGATAACACATTCTGGGGCCAGGTATTGTAGTGCACACCTTTAATCCTAGCATGCAGGAGGCAGAGACAAGCAGATCTCTTGAGTTTGAGGTCAGCCTGGTCTACAGAGTAAGTTCCAGGACAGCCAGAGCTACATAGAGAAACCCTATCTTGAAAAACCAAAAGAAAAAGATATTCATTCTGTTGGAACAGGAGAAAGAGTAGCTGACTTATGTGTGAATTGAATTTGATTCTTAAGCAAATTCAGTGTATTCAGTGACAGAGTCAGACAGATGGGTGAGCAGAGAATTTGTCTGTTCACACTTCACATCCTAGAGAATCCCAGCCATCCATTCAGTCTGCAAACAGAGACTGTGCCCACTAGAAATGTGCCTTGTGAGATGGATTGCATTGTTCCGATACATGGTAAGAAAGGCAGGACACACTGCTTGTGAGTCTCTGTCATGTAACTCACTTTGTTCTTCATGCCATGACAGCCCCCCCTGAAGAATGCTACTGGAATGTTTTTAACCATGCGGCCAATTCAGACATCCCTGACAATGCCAGAGGTTTGGGTGTCAGCATTTAATCCTAGTACTAGGGAGACAGGAGATCTCTGTGACTCAGGGCCAGCCTCGACTACGTAGTAAGACCTTCTCTTAAAAAAAAGAAAAAAAAAGGAAATCTCTCCAGAGTGATAATGCAGAGAATGTTTTTGGGTAAGGGATAGGAGCTGCAGTTACCAATAATGGTCCTTTCTTGCTACACAGATGTTGAAATGAATGCTCTGTGCCTGCCCCACCCCCATCCCTCTCTCAAGTCCTGCAATGCTTTTTGTCCTCTGACCCCTTTAGCCAAGTGCAGCAGTAATGAAGGGCTGCTGATCCTGGGGCAGTGCAGTGTAGGTGCCTCTGAAAGACACTCCACTTTCTACTAAAGGTTCTTACTAGTTTAATTATGTATAAATTGGCCACTGTCAATTGTATCAAAGACCAGCCTATTTCACCCACATTATAGAACAAGCAGCAAATTGTTCTGGCATAATAGTCATTCATTCACCAAAATGATGGCAGTGCGAAACAGTGCTGAGCCTGAATTCTGCTTCTGTTGCAAAGTAGAATCTAGTTCAGATTACAAACTGGTCTTGGTAGCTATTCCTGACTAATACTTGAGGGCTATAGTTGATGTCACGGGTAGCTGTTCCTTGGTCGTCTGTTGGCAGGCAAAAGAACGCCAGTCTGTGGTGCCAGGTGATATACACAGTCAATCAGGACAAGCCTACTCCTACTTTATTCTGAATTTCCATTCATTATATAAGTTACTGGATGCAGGTGCTAATGAGTTGGAAAATTAAGCTGTTTGACTAAGATCATATCAAAGTAACTTCTTATAATAAAACATTAAATATATAATCTGTGAAACAATTTGGCTAAAGAAAACTGTATGTTTTAGATATGTTTGTATATTTTGTAGTATCATTTGTAGTCTAATTTGTGTAGTACTTGCTTAGCTCTCTGTCCTCCTTCCTGAGCAGCATTAAGTGTCTTTTGTAGTTAAGGACCCTTACAGGCCTGGCTTAGAAAGTTGGGTGGACTTTAGTGTCTCTGGTACATTTGAAGAGCACTCTTTCCTGGGTGGTTATAACACGGAAAGTCAGTTCTTCACAGGGTAACTTGTAACAATCCCTGAATAGCAAGCAGCTCTTTAATTTCAAATGAGAAAAGTGACTCTTAACTAAATAGTCTTGTTTTGTCATTATTTTTTAAAAGGGCTTACCTGTTGCTTTAGACAAACATATTCTTGGCTTTGACACAGGAGGTAAGTTATTTTGCTTTAAGTCAAGCTATATTGAGGGACTTGTTCTGAGGTGTATGCGGGTGGCTGGAAGCACAGAAACCACAGACACACACACACACACAGATGCAGTGTTCTTGTCTTATAACAGATGCAGTTCTGAACGAAGCTGCTCAGATCTTGCGATTGCTGCACATAGAAGAGCTCAGAGAACTACAGACGAAAATTAATGAAGCCATAGTAGCTGTTCAGGCAATCATTGCTGACCCAAAGACGGACCACAGACTGGGGAAAGTCGGAAGATGAGCACATCAGGATTTCAGCTTCTTGCCTGCCTAGTGTGAGGGGAACCATGTGCATCGGCATGTGTTTGGAAATCAAATGTCACATTTTCGAGGGAGGAATCCCAGGAAATTGGCCGTGTTCTAGAGATTTACCACCATTGCTTTTTTTTTTCTTTAATAAAGTTGGGGAAAGTAAAAGGGTTTTTTGTTTTGCCGTGTTTCTGTAATTCTCGTGCATCCTCCTTTATGGTTAGAGATTCATCCCAACCATGACTTCGTCCTGGAGACAGTATCGATCTTTAGACCATTAGAAAGCTTTAAAATATTTTATTGGATTTACATAGAAAATTTAAGAACTGCTATATCTTTGGTGTTTTACATGGAATACTTTGAGGAATGCTTCTGTAGAGGCACTTAGGGGATCATTTAGCACCTTTAATATAAATAAAGTGAGGACTTTTGCTGGGAAGTATAAGCAGGTTGGTTCATCCTGGTGATCATCATAATCTGTTACAGGGCTCTCAGACGACTTCAGGAAAAAATTTTCATAACCAGCCATGTGTTTTACTTTTCTTGGGCAGGTAGAATCCATGGCAAAAATTAGATTTAGTGTCTTAAGCTCTTGCTGGGTCTTTGTTGAATAAATTTGGTCTTTTAAATAAGTGTTACAAAAAGTTGCTTTAATAAGCAATGACTAAAATTCTTTAAACTTCTGATAACCTTTGTTTTTAAAAAATACAGTAGTAATGATTGAGGTATACACTTCACAAAATATACTTATATTTTAGCTGCACTAAAAATGCTCATCTTGTGTGCCCAGAGCTCATAACGACCAATTCCTATTCCACTGCCTTTGCCTTTGTAGTAAATGTTCTTAGGTCAAGATTCTTGTTGTAAACTTGAAATCCTCCTATACATTTTATGTTCATTTTCTTCCTGTGAGGGAGTGGACAGCAGTGAATGTTTCATTAGTTAAGCAGCATAGGAAGGCAATGATGGCAGAGTTACCATTGCCCTCTCTCATCCCTTCTCCACCCACTGGACGAAGGACATCATGATGTACCCTGAAGACCTTACCTGTTGGACAGTAGGGGTAGACTGCAGTGATCCCATAGAGGTGAGACCGCTGCTCGGGGAGATACTCATCGGTAAATTGACCACTGTCTTTATTCACTGATATGACACCATCCCTGGTAAGAGGAGAGGCAGTCAGGGCCAGTCACAAGATAATGTTTTAGTAGGCAACAATTTGACAGTTTTCCATATACATAAAAACAAACAATTCAGCCAAATGAGTTTCAGTCAATTTGTCTAAAGCCAGTGACTCTGGACATAGCTCCTACACCAGTATCCTGGGAACTTCCATGAAATGCAAATGCTGTTTACCCTCCCTGGTCCTTCTAAGTCAAAACCTAGAACAGCAGGCAGAATGTATTTTTTAACATTTTGTAGCCATAAGAGCTGATGGCTATGTCCCAGAGGTCACAGCACTCACATCTCATGTGAAATAGTAGGGAGTTGAGGAAAAGTACTCAGACATCCAACTTTGTTTTCTTTTTAAGGTCTTCCAAGCTCAGAGCCAAACAGTATTTCTCGGTCTTTAAGGTAGACAGTTGATGTTAGTTTTCTTACTTTTTGTTTTTTTTAAGACACGGTTTCTCTGTGTAGCCTTTAGTGTCTTGTAGACCAGGCTAGCTGAAGAGATTCACCTGTCTCAGCTTCCTGGTGTTAGGATTAAAGGCCTATACCACCACCACTTAAAAGTATTCATTCTCTAAGAACAGATTTAAATAAATGCTTCTTTTTAAGTAGTAATTACCAAATATCTTCAACTTATATGCTGCCTGCAAGCAACACCAGTAAACTTCAGGATGATGTGGAAGGATGACTTAAAAAATAGGTGTCTACTGAAGGACAGACAGCCCAACAGGACTTCCCAACTGGAGTTGCTGACTGGTAAAACAGCATGCTCTGCTCTCCAGAGTGGGGCTCACCTCCGCCAGTCTGTATGGTAAAAGTGATCTGCATAGCTGACGATGCTGAAGGGGTAATTGAGATGATTTTGGATGACACGCCGTCCGGTTCCATCAGGTAGTGTACATTCCAGTTTCTTGGTTCCTTTTAAGATACCCAAGGGGAAAAATGAGATGCCAGATAGAGTCTTCAAGGGGAACAGGCAGAATTTAAAAATGGGGCATTTTACTCCCACTATAGTCCACATTTGAAATGGTAAACCATGCCCTGTGATTCATGTCCACTTGGTGCAGCAGAACTCTAGTTTTGAGTAGAGTTTCAAACTTAAATCCTTTTATGGAAGAAACAATGTAATCTATTGAAATCTTCCAGTTTCTTCCCAAGAAGAAGGGGGGGGGGAGGCATAAGCCTACATTTATAGGTTGAAAACATAACATCCAGATTGACCAAAATGCTTACATATTCTACATAGGAAAATGAAAATAGTAGTGGGTAGTTTTACATGGAAGCACACAAATTCTTGAAAAAAAAGAATTTTCATGTTTCAGATTTCTTACTAAAATTCCATATACCTTTTAAAAAATGTAATGTTCAGACAACTGGATTGTAAAACACCCAGCTGCATATTCAGCAAATTGAAGAGCTTTTATTTTCTTTAGTAAAATGAGATACGGTATCTTTGAGTTTTTCTAGTAATGCACAGTATGCCACAAAATAGATAGATAACCTGGTGTTAATGCATTCCTGAAGGAGGCCATTCTCTTACAGCACTTGGCAAAGGATCATAGTGCACAAAGTGATAAAATCTTACAGAGTTAGACTGTAATAATGGCCCAGAAGGTAGATCAATCTCAGTTCATCCAAACTTAAAAGTTTTCCAGGTGTTCACAGCAGAGTCAGGGGGCAGGGCAGACATGCTGCAGTCAGCCTCCCCTTTGAACTCCCACTGTTAAGAATCACTGCGCAATGTTCTTTTAAAGCTTACATATCTGGCAAGTATGATAGAAATTTATACCAACAGATCTAAAAGATGGGCAAATCCCCCTAGTGCTTGCACTGTTGTAAGGAAGGCCATCATTCTCAATGTTACCAGTATTACCTGCATCTGCCCAGCACAGCAGTTTGGAGAAGGGATCAAAAGTTAACCCATTGGGTAATCCAATATCTTTGTTGATCAGAATTCTTCTGTTTTCTCCATCTAAAGATGATGTTTCAATTTTAGGAGCTTCTCTATTCCAGTCTGTCCAGTACAAGTTGCTGTGGATAAATGTTAAATTGATAGTTAATGAACACTTGTGCAGGGGTTGAAGTACATAGCTTAGCATATACCAGCCCCTACACTAAATTTCCTCCCCCCGACAACACCCCAAAAGGACAGCCATGCAGTTTAGGAGATGCAGCCACAGTGGCCACCACTGACCACCACCTCCTGGTATTCACAGCCTTAATCTTGGTTATCCAAGTCTTTCTCCTGGCGAACAGTATGGTAGAAGTCATGCTATCACTTTCACTATCAGTTTTTTAAAAGTGGCTTCTGTTGGTACCTTTTCTTGCTTCACGGGGGAAGCTAGATACTTTACTGCAAGCTACCCTATGAAGAGATCCATGTGCCCATCAGGGAACAATGGCATAAGCCTGCCAGTGGTCCACGTGAGAACTTAGAGACCTTTTCAGCCAAGCCTTGATCATGGCAGCCTGGCCAGTACCTTGGTTGTTGCTTCATGACATTCATTACCAACTTGTGTAGCTTCACCCAGATACCTTACGGTTAATAAATGTTGTCTTGGGCTGCCAAGGCCTTCTGACAACTGCAACTGTGGGGAGTCATTAACTGTCTAGACCCTTGCCTCTCATACACTTGATGTAGTTGCCCAGAAACCCTCAATTTGTTTAAATCTTGAACTGGATCTTGGGCCTAGAATCCAAAGAAATATTTGCCTATTTGTTAGAGGCATTTGTGTGGTAGAAAATGAGTCCTGTTATAAAGAACTAATGCAATTTGAGGAATAGAGGGAGAGTTTCTTGGAAAAGTGCCCAAGTGTTGAAGGTCCTGGACACTTAATTGTCCTACACTTGGCTACCAGGACAGAGACACTCCTAACATGAAAAAAATACTTAAACAGTATCTTGTTAAAATCTGCAAAAAAAGAGCAGAAATACTGAAACTTCCATCAAAGCTATAGATACTAGTCAGTTGAACCCAGAGAAATGTCAGTCTTCTCTGCTGTGAACATCACTCCTTATGGGTGACAATAAGAGCCAGAGTCCAGTTTCCAGTCCGTGAGAAGGCTGAGATCCAGACAGTGAGCAGCATCCTTGGAGGTGACCAACTAAGCCTCTGAGAAGTTGCGAAGACTTAGTTATGTGTATTGCACTTTGGTGTCAGGGTGCCTGTCTTTGACATTTTCCTCTAGAATCTAAATCCTGAAGCATAATGACTGAACAAGGTGCTGTTGTTCAGTTCCCACCCTTTAAGACTAAGCACCAAGGACTATGAAGAGTGGCCCTAGGAGATATTTAGTCCTGCAGATAAGGTTCCTTCATGTGTAAAGTCCAAATCACCTTTGAGGCTTTCTTCACTGCCTTAAAGGCTTCTCTGTAATTAAGTTTGGTGGAAGCTACATGTCAGTAATCCCAGAGATCCCTGCCCAGGCATGTACACCACGGGTGACAGTAGCTGTCATGGAGAGGGAACATTTTTACCTAGATTTTGTACACTCCCCATCCAGGAGTGGGAGAGGGGAAACAAAACAAAACACTGCTGTGACTGTAACAAGGCTTTCTCAAGGTATTGCTGAAGGAAGCAACTCCCTCCTTTGTACCGATCATTTTCCAAGGTGCAGTTCCCAGGTTCTGCAGAACACACTCCATTCCAAGCTAACACCTTAGCTCTTGCCTGTCATCTTACATCCTGCCTCATACAATGCGAGCTCCTTAAAAACAAGACACACATGAGAGGCAAAGACAGATGGATCTCTGTGCATTTGAGGCCATCTGGTCCATCTGAGGCCGAATGTCCAAGACAGCCAGGACTGTCCTGGAACACAGTGAAACCGTGTCTTGAAAAATAAAACAGCGAAACCTTCTGCCTTCAAAGATGCCTGATACCTAGCAAGGCCTTGACATATATCCAGTAAATTAGGTATTTGAGGTTTTATTCTGATCTGGACCTTCCCGTGCCATATATATATGGCAGCTAGGCTACAGAGAGAAACCCCATCATGAAAAATTTTATATATATATATATATATGTATATATATATATGTATATATATATATGTATATATATACGTATATATATATGTATATATATATACGTATATATATATATATATGGACCTTTCCGTGCTAGGGGCTCGGAAACAAATCTATAGAGAACAAAGGAAGCCAGCTAACCCTCGGATTGGATCCACAGTGATGGCTCGTGGATTCACCAAATCTGTGTGAAAGAGGACCTTCCGCTCGGAACCATCCAGCCCTGCCCGCTCTATCTTATCCAGGCCACTATCTGTCCAGTACATCCTTCGGCGAACATGGTCGATGGCAAGTCCTTCAGGGCTTATCAGACCTGGAAATCGAGGCAGGAGAGGGCATCAGCAGGGTGTGAAAGGTGAACTTAAGTACCTTATCTAAGCCACTTATAGAGCCAAAGCATAAAAGAGCCTTGAAGATCCCCAAATGAAGGTTGCCTTGTCAACCCTACCTGGTATCTTCTGTACTAGACCTTACCAACCCCAGTGGCTCCTCGCATCCATGGTGCTGGGGACAGGCAATACAGACTGCCAAGACTGCCAGACCCTGGATTCTCTTTTTGTTTGTTTTTAAATTTTTCATGATGGGGTTTCTCTCTGTAGCCCTAGCTGTCCTGGAACTCACTTTGTAGACCAGTCTGATCTTGAACTCACAAAGATCCACCTGCTTCTGCCTCCTGAGTGCTGAGATTAAAGGCCTGAGTCCCCAGCATCCTTGGATTCTTACTGCCACCCACGTCTTTTGAGGACAGTTCGCCTTATCCTAGAATCACCTGTTTCTGTTATATAAAAGCATTTGTTAATAGAGGTATAAGGCTTGTACAGCTCAAAAGTAATAGAACTTAACCTTCCCTTTTAGCTAAAAACAGGAGAAACCAGGAGGAAACACGCCAATGACAGTAAAATAAATGCATTGCCAAGTGTCCACGGGATGAAGCTGCTGACCTGAGGTAAGGATGGTCTCGGGTTCTGCTCCTGCTTCCAGGCTGGCGCGACTGATGGTCCGACCAGCGACATCTGTCCAGTAGACCATCCTCTCCTGGCAGTCATAGTCAATCCCCACAACTATGGAGCCCTTTCAGAACCAATCATGACATCAGAAGAATTAGGATTCCCTTCAGTCCCTAACACTAAGTTCTTGGCTACACAGCATTACTGGGAGCAGTCTGTACTGTGGTGGTGCAGGGCATGGACCCAGTAGTTAGACAAGGGAGGTAGTGACGTCTCCCTAAGGTCAAAACCAGGCTCGGCCACTTAACCTCTATGCTTTTGTTTCCTTCAATACTTCAAACAGTAACATGTTTATAAAATAGAGTCTTAATGGCAACTACCATACAGCAAGCTCCTCCAGCACTATTAGAACTGGCTGTAAAAACAGTAATTTCATGAGGAAAATCAGCCCATTCACTATTGAGAGGATCATCTCAAAATAAGTCCTTAATGCTCAATGGTGTGAAAGATGACTGCTTCCAAGTGTTACTGGCATTTTCTCAAAGAGCCTTTCTAAAATCTGACAACACATGCCAACAAACTTCCTCTACTGGGTGAATAGGCTGAAATCCTCCCCAACCTGAGATGCAATCACCCCTGCCTCTTAATACAAGCATTCAGCTGTGTGGTATAGAAAAAAGCTTATAATTTTACAGATTAAGGAACTGTGGTCATTTGGCCTTCAGCTAGCACAGCCTCTCCCCTTTCTTTTGAGTGACAGTCTTATTGAAACCCTCAAATCTGGGATGTTCCTGTTTGAACTTCACACAGGACTGGCTTCATTCTATTTCTAACCCAGATTCATGCTATGAGAACCCCCAGCAGACATGAGACACACCTGTCTCCACCTCGTCTAGTAAAGCCTGGGGATTGGCTTGTGCCTGAAGCAGTAGTCACCAGGGGACACTGTATGAAGCAGGATTTGGTGCCTGCAGAAAAGCTGGCATTTATTTGCGGGGACGGGGGGAATCTAAGGTCTCAGTACTTTTATTTGAAAATCAAAATTAAAAGGCCCTCTATCCGAGGCAAGAGTACATATTCATACAGGCAGCAATGAATCCAGGGGCTCATGGGATTCATAAACTAAGCTTCTTGGTATGAAGGTCACATTTTAGGTAAATTGCTCTAAAGTGTGCTTATAATTCATGTCTCCTTCCTCCTTCATAGTTTCACTGTGGCCATCTCCACCCTGTCCATTAGACATGTTCAGAAATGCAAGCAAGCCATCCAATATGCCTAGAATACAAGAGTGTTAGCATGAAGGAACTTCTAAAGCAGTCCACTCAGATCGAGAGTGGGGATGGAGCCGTGAATCTTAAAAAGAAGAAAAAGACAGAAAAAAAAAAAGACAGTAGCTGCTTTTAAGCTTCCTTGGAATGAAATAGTAGTTCATTAACAGAAATAAATATAGTGAACCCTACCCTGTATGAAGTCTGCTCAGTATGCAGTGAAGAAAGGGTCAGAGCAGTTTTCACAGTAAATGGTGATGCCTCTCTCCTCCCCACTGTGAAGGAGAAACCCCTCCTTCCACAAGTAGGTGTTGTGCTAGCTCAAGAAGTAAACTTGTCTTCTGGGGGGAGGGGGAGTGCAATACCAGTCACACCCCGAAAGTCACGATGGACATGGAGGAAGGCTAAGAAGTGCATCAAAGTCACAACCAAAATGAAAGGGGACAGGCTGACAAGTGGTCCTGGGTGGGTTTCCACCCTACTGTCTCAAATGACCACAGACGTCACCTCCAAGATGTCTATAACCTGAACAGAACCCCCAGGAACTACAATGGTCTTCCCATAAACACCCAATGACTCTGAAATTCCTTACTGTCTACCTGAACTTCCATGAGCCCTCAGGACAAAGCGGTGAGAATGGGACAGGTATGACTTCCAACAACTGAACTCCATTAAGCAGACTACAGCCCAAAAAGCATGCCAGAATTCCCTGCACTGCATTCCTTACCCTGTGGCACCCAGCAGAGGCTTCTGAAAACCACAAAGCACAGCTCCTCTACACCAACAACCCCATTAACCTAGCTAGCATGCCGGCCCGCCCTGATTCCAAGCCCCATTTTTCTCATGTAGCCCAGCCCTCTGGAGAAATCCAGTTTACATGCAGTGACAGCAGAGTCCTGGCTGCATCCTTCTGAAGCCTGCTGCCATTGAGAGGCAAGTGGCCAATCTGCTGGCCCTGGGCATAGAGCAGGAAGGTGCCCACAGATGGAGGAGTCACATCAGGGCGGGGTGTAGGTCGGACTATAGGTGGAGTGACAGTAGGGATACCTGTTTGTGGAAACAAGGTGGGGAGAGAAAAGTTACTTTTGTACACAAGAACCTTCAAAACTATCCAGTGTTTTCATGGGGCAGATATTCTTCAAAGAAATTCTGATTTCTAGGTGTTTTTCAAAGTTATTTAAATTGCTGACAATACTCAGGGCATAAAGACAACAAAACAAAGTAGAGAGTTTTTGTTGTCATTTTTGGAGGGTCAAAAGCTTACTGGGGGCCCCAGGGTGACATTGCCGATTCCACGCAGGGCTAGGAAGGCAGAATAATTACATGCTGGCTTGAGATCAGTTGTTCTTATAGCAGAAACTGCTAGTGGCAAAGCCAACATTAAATCCAGATTGAGATCCTGAGACATTCTGATGATAAATCAACACAGCGTATCAAAGAGTGACTTTATTCATCAGACTTGGTAACCCTTATCCTCCCTACCCTGCCCACCATGGGAAGCAAAAACCCGACAGAAAGCCCTCAGTGGCACAGAGGGAAGCCTAAGTCACTCCATGCTTACATGCAGGCATGGTGCCTGGTTGTGAGCGTGTGCCCTGCAGTTCTCTGCCATCCTTGTCCACACACCAGCAGAAGTCACTCCTCCCATGGCACTGTAGGGGTATGAAGTGGCCCAGGTCGTCACACTGGGGCACATACTGGTCATCCCTGGGTGTGCCCCCATAGTGTTCCAGCAGATTTTCCCTCCAGCGCTCACAGACCGTCCGAGGCCTCTGGGTGGGCTCTAAGATGGGGAAACAAACCCTTAGATGGCCAACCAAGATCAGTACAACTTCAGGTCCCATCCCCCATCTCTTGACCTTCTTGGACATGCCCCTGGACACTGGGTCAGGGAAGCACACGTGTTTTCAGAAGATCTCTGTGGAAACGCAGAAAAGGAATTGCCCTGATGTTCCTATCTCCCAAGGCCAGGAGGACTTTCCATGAAGGCCCAGTCACTTCAGAAAATAACAAGGAGACAAGCTCATCAATATTCCTCACTCAGTCCAGTGGAGATGCACATGGACCTGGTCTGATGACTGATGATGACACAGCACTGTAGAGACTCACTTTGGGGACTCAATGATGCACATGACACTTAAAAACAATTATTCTTTCCCACTTGTTTCAAGTTATTGAACCTATACGACAAGATCCATCTCCAGGCTGGCCTGTGTGTCCTAGAAGAAAAAGGGCTGAAAATCATGATGCTGTGCTACATGGAGCTCTCAGCTTCATTGGAAAGTTACATGGAGCAAGAGAGGCAGGGTGGTGTACACAGCACAGCAGAGGTGACACTGAGAAATGTGAAACTGATTCTTGGACTATCCGGTTTCAAGAAAACCACAGCCATCACATTGCTGGGAGCTATCTCAAAGCTGACCCTTTTCACACAAGCTCCAGCTTTCTGCCACAATGCTGTCCTGTTTTCTCCTGTACCCCCTTTCCCCAAATTCTCCTATCCTCAGACTCTTGGTGCACACACCATGGTTAAAGAAAGCCAGGCTGGCTTCTGACAAATGCCAGTTTTCTGCTAGGCTGCTGCCCCAGGGCCATGGAGGCTCTCCCCTACACATGCAGTTCTCTCTACAAATGCTCCCGTTGTTGAAATCCCTTGCTCACTGAGCTTGGATTATCCTAAAGGCATTTCTGGTTCTGTCTTAATTCTTGCAACTCACAGCCTGTGGTCTACAGAATCACACAGCCAGGTATCTTCTTGCTACCACCACCTGGATGCACAAATGAACTCTCAGCACAAAAGTAAATGCTGAGCTCCTGCTTTTTCCTAAACTGGTTCCTGTGCCTTTAGCTCCACTAAACAGCAACTACATTTTCTATTGCGCAGATACAATCACCAGATTACCTCTTTCTCTCGCACATCAAGTAAAAAATGTCTCATCAATTTTACCCTCAAAAGCATTACGACTAGAGGCAGACACAGTGGTGCATGATTTTAATCCTAGCACCCAGGACACAGAGGCAGGTGGATCTCTGTGAGTTGAAGGCCAGCCTGTTCTACATAGTGAGTTCCAGAACAGCCATCGCTGCATAGTAAGCCCTGTTTCAAAAATGCCCCAACAACAACAAAAATCCATTTTGACTTCTTGCCACTTCTCCTGTGTGTGTCACCCTGGTCACAGACATTTCACACTGGGATCATGGCAACAGCATTCTGACTGAATTTTCTGTCTCCTCCCACAACCAAACCAGTGTACACTCAGCTAGCAGCCACAGTGGCATGTTTAAACCCAGGGGCACCATCTCACACTGGGACCATGGCAACAGCCTTTTATCTGGCTTTTCTGTTTCCATCTTTCATGCTTTCACACCACCAAACCAGCGTACACTCAGCCAGCAGCTGCCTAAAGCCCAGGGCATCTTAGTATATTCTGTTCAAAACCCTTCAGACACTTCAAAGAACAAAGCTGGAGGTATCACAACAGGCTGCAAGGGACCCTGTCCTCTGAGAAGGTGGGGAGATACAAATAAAGACCTCAATCTTAAGCTCCACAAGCCCTCTCAAGACTTCCATCTTGGGAAGTGGCTGCCCCCTCGGGGTGTTATAGCTCATGACTCACAGGAAGCAAAGACAATAAAGACAAGACTCTGATCTGCTCAGCCCCACGTGTTCCAGGACCAAAGAAGGGGCTGCTACTCTCTCAAACATCCACACTGAACACCCCCAACAGCCACTCTTGTTTCTGGGGACCATCCAACATGCCTATGTGTCTGCATGGATTCAAACACACATCAAGTCAACTGGGTCTCAGATCACTCACAGGTGGGCACCTCTTTCATCTCCTACTGCTTTAAGCAACATCCAACCATGGGCTTTCTTCTTTCCTGCTTCCGGTTGGTAAGGGTTCAAACAGTCTCAAGCCCAGAGTGCACAGCATGCTAGCATCCCTCCCACTGACCTGATTACACAAATGAGATTAGTGAGAGATGGCAGGCGGGCCACACAGTGACAAGAAAGAAGTCTGCGCCATGAGAATTCTGCACAAAAGAACGTGGCCCTTATTTTAACATTATTAAAATGTCATTAACATCTCAGAATGAGTCACTCTCCTTAACACATATTTGTTTTAATCAACTTAACAGACTGTCAAGCCATCCCTCCAAGGCCCCACCTCACCACTGACTTCCAAACAGAGCTGAGGTTTTTGAGAGAAGCCACAGCAGAAACAGGACTTCTCTAAGGCATCTTAGTTTTTAAGGTCTATAGCCTTGTTCATAAATAATGGGGGGCGGGGGGTGAAGAGGATCAATGTGGAGCAATCCATTACCAATTTACCTGTGTGAATCTTTCAATTTGTTTATTGAGAATTTTATACAATGTATTTTGATGGTATTCACTCTCTCTTCCCCAACTCTTCCCAGATTCATGCACTAATTTTTATGTACATATTCTTGGAAATACTAAAGCCCTGGGCATATTATGAATGTTATAGAATCAAAACTGTTGGAAATTGCCCAACTCTATCTCCCTCACTCATTAAAGTCTGAGATAAGTGAGTCTGTAAATTTTTGTTTTGTTTTGTTTTTCGAGACTGGGTTTCTCTGTCCTGTAGCTTTGGAGCCTGTCCTGTAACTTGCTCTGTAGCCCAGGTTGGCTTCGAACTCACAGAGATCCTCCTGCCTCTGCCTTCTGAGTGCTGGGACTAAAAGTGCGCCACACCACCGCCCGGCTGATTCTATAATTTTTTTTAGGTTTTATTTATTTCTAAATAATTTTAGAAGTGGCTCTTTAGATACTAGCTCCAAGATCAGGAAGTATTTGGGCTAAAGCAGCAGCATGTGTTGCCCACTTGTGAATAATTCAGCAAGGGGCTGGAAAGCTGCCCAGTGTAAGATGCCTGTTGCTCACATTGGCAGTGAGCCTCTGCTGACCATGCTCCAAAACCTTGGCAGGAAGAAGGCAGATAACAATGGCCATGTTTGCCATGAGTACCTCAGATCAGATAGATGGATTCCTATACTTCCTATGAAAGCAGCTGTGCAAAGAAGGGTTTCCCATCACTATGCTGGATTGACTAGAGAGGGATGGGCATCACTGGGCTAAAGGGAACTCAGTGGATTATTCTGAGTTTCATACCTATTTTTTCCTGCTAACATTAGCAGTCTTCAGACTGCCTTTTACAGGGAAGTGACATGGTTACATAGAAAGGAGTAGATAAAATATTACGCTGGCAAAATTCTTTAGCTCTCAAGCCTTTCACAATGGGTCACAGGCTAATGTTAAAATTCAACTTTCAGTCACCTTTCAACAAATGGAATCTAATGCATAAAGGATCCTATGACAGTAGCACGCACACAGGTGTGCCTATGTCTTCCAAGTGTTTGCTGGAGGAAAGAGAAAGCTATGAAAACATAGCAGCCAGTCACACCTACGTCTGAGCTGTGTTATAAATCATCCCACGGCCAGAGCCATTCTATTCCTTGACTCTAGACCTGAGCTGGCACAAAGTCTTTCTATGGGGCAAGTAAACTCACCTGATGGTGGTCCACAGTGAGGAGGGGTGGAGCCAGGTGGAGTCTGGGTGCCAGGGACTTCATGGCCATTCTGGTCCACACACCAACAGAAGCCAGTGTTGCCATGGCACTGCAGTGGCATGAAGTTGCCCTGGTCATCACATTGGGGGATGTGGACTCGTGACCCAGGGTAGGCATGCTGTGCCTGGGCATAGCGCTGCTGGTGTTCACAGGGCTTCAGGTTTGAGATGGAATCTGGAACCATGGATGAGTGAGACAAAAGAGAAATAAGAAATAAATTTCTTATTTCACAACCCATTTACTTACAAGTTCACATAAAGTCTTCTGTACTGAGAATTTCTTCCCTACAATTACAAGTTACCATGACATGGAAAAATAGCAAGACACTAAGATTTTAGAGTCTTGAATTTTTATTTTAGCCTTGTTACCATCTACCTAGTTGTCCCTAATTCCCCCCATTTGCCCTGTACATCCCCAGGTGAATATAAATGTAAGCTAGTCCAGTATGCTCCTCAGCCCTTGGGGGCCAATTGCCATCTGGACAAAATGAAGATTAACCATTGGCATCTGCCCAACATTCTGGAAACTTCAAAGAGGACAAGTTAACTCCATCCATTTTATGGGACCCGGAGTTTAAGCGTGAGAAGCCCATGTCAATATAGCCACACTGCTATATGTTAGCCAAGTTCCCCCAAAGCATTCACCACGAGTGTTGACTACTGGCTCATTGGTACAGGAGGCTCCTACTTAATAAGCCCCTCAATAGTTTAAACAGCATGTAGCAAAGTAGATCAATAGGGTGGTGAGTCAGAGCAGCCACAGAGTGAATGGCAGACTCTAACAAGCTTGCATGCCAATGAGCAGTAAGCGAACATCAGGAGGTACTAGAAGAATCCAGAGCTTGGAAAATACCCCCACCAGGCCCCCAGACCAGCTTCCATCAAGAGAAGGCTAGGAGGAAAATAAGTGGGAAGGCGCAGGGAGATCCCTGCGTTTTTAAGCTGGTCTTCCATCACTTACCAGATGTGCAGTAAAACCCATCCCCGTGATACCCAGGCTGGCAACGACAAGAGAAGGACCCAGGGGTATTGTAGCAGGTAGCTGCCTCATGACATCTGTTTTCCGCACATTCATCAACATCTGCAGAGGTCAGGGACAGGCGCAGAGAGGTGAGGAAAGGAAGGAAGACCATGACTTCACCACAAACAGCTGTGCGACTACATGGCCCCAGTGCACATGGCTCAACAAGTTACCAACTTTAGAACATCCCTAGAGCTGAGCTAGGAGTAAACAACAGAAAGGAAAAAAAGAAAAAGAAAAAAACATGTACTAGCTAGTTTTAGGTCAAGTTGACACAAGCTAGAATCATCAGAGAGAAAGGAGCTTCAACTGGTAAATGACTTCCATAAGACCATGCTGTGGGGCATTTTCTTTTCTCCCTCCTCCCCGGTTTGGTTTTTTGAGACAGGGTTTCCCTATAGCTTTGGAGCCTGTCCTGGAACTAGCTCTCGTAGATCAGGCTGACCTCAAACTCACAGAAATCTGCCTGCCTCTGCCTCCCGAGTGCTGGGATTAAAGGTGTGCGCCACCACAGTCCAGCTTGTGGGGCATTTTCTTAATTAGTAATCAATGGGGGAGGGCCCAGCCCATTGTGGGTGGTGCCATAGCTGGGCTGGTGGTCCTGGGTTCTAATAAAGCAGGCTGAGCAAGCCACGGGGAGCAAGCCAGTAAGCAGCTCCCCTGCATCAGCTCCTACCTGCTTGAACCCTGCTTGAGTTCCTGCCCTCGCTAATTTTGATGATGAACTGTTATATGGAACTGTGAGTGAAATAAACCCTTTCCTCCATTCCTCCACAGGTTGCTTTTGGTCATGGTGTTTCATCACAGCCACAGTAAACATAACAAAGACAAAAACGAATCCAGGAACATGTGTGTTAATAAATGAAATGAGTGCTCAGAGTAGAAATGCGTGGGCACCCAGAGAGAAATACCCCACTGTGCACTTCTGGAGCATCTGTCTGCTACACTGAACCCTAGACATTTTGTTTCCTTTCAACTGCTAACCTTTTCATTAATTTTCTGTCAGTGATGTTACAAACAAAGATAAATATAGGTAACAATAGTTTTCCGTGTTAGTTTGGCACCAGTTTCCTTTCTATTCTTGTAGAGATACAGGAATCCGATGAAGCCCCGAACACATTTTCTGTTTAGAAGGACCTTCAGCCTTGCCTGATCAGATTGCTGTCTAAAACCTCCAATTAGAGATTGTCAGACCCAGACTTACTTCTCATTTACTCAAAGAGAAGAATGTTATGAGGACTTCTGAAATAACACGAACAGCTCAGGCCCCTGCACTCAGCACATGCTTCTCTGAGGAGTTCATACTCAAAACTGCCAATTCCCGTAGTTTGAGCAAAAGCCAATTAATATGCCTTTTTATTTTGCTTATTAAAGTTGACCCATGCTGTCAAGAGTAAGTCACCTCTTTCCCCACCCCCACACTCAAAAGACCCCTAAGAAACTTTAGCAGTAGAACTGCTAAAGCTGATGCCAGGGGGTGAGGTAAGCTCTGAGACAACAGGAAGTCTTCCAGAGGAAGACTGGGAAAACAAAAGATACAGGTCTGAGCTAGGCTCCACCAAAAACAAAAGGAAATGTGAGTCACAGCCATCATAACAGCCAGAGTTGTTTTTGATGTGTGAGTAGAAGAAATGTGTGACCAAGCAATGGCATGAAGCCTAGAAAAGGAGCTGTGTCCATTTGGTGCAACCCATGGCAGGCACACACCAGCTTAGAAAGTGGAAGTTTATAACCGGGGTTAGACTTGAATGGGCAGGGATCAGAGTGAGACTCCACCAAGCCTTCACGCAGCCCATTCTCCAGGGGATCCTCCCCCGTTCAGCTGTTTTCTGGGTTGTCAGGCCACTGTGCCTCACACACAGGCATTCTGTTCCCTTGACAGGAATCCCTTATACTCACCTAGTAAGCAGTACGCTTATCCTCTGCATTTGGAGAACACAGTGCCTTTGAGTCCAAACATCCCTGCATGCTTAATGAAATCAAGCTTAATTCCACCCTGAGAGGCTCTCCCTGGGCAAGCAGCTGATTTTCTGGTTACCTTCACCTCCCAACATTAAGAAAGGAGCTATTTAAAGAGCATCCTAGATGGCAACTCAGTTACCACAGAACCATCCTCTCCATCCTAGTTGCGCATTCTGTCTTTTTAAAGGCCAGCTCAGGGCACAGCTAAGCAGGGGGCTGACTGGGACCAGAGCAGCTAGAAACCTGAGTGTGGAGCCAAACCTGTAAACTCAGAAAATTCAAACTTCCAATGGGGACAGGCACTCCAAGGAAGCAATGGCAAAAAGGAATTCCCCAAGGTTGCCAAACCTCTGGCAATATTAAGGCCTTGACCAAACCTGAAACAGCCACTTTCCCCTACTCCTCTTTGTGGTTGCCATGGCTATGGCAGACAGGAGCTGTTAGGAATGACCAGTAAGTAGAAAAAAAGCCCTGGAAGAAGTTTAAGACATCACACCTGATGAATCCTGGGACCTCAAACTGGAGAATTGTAGGATCCCAGAATTGTAAGCCAATTCATTCTTGGAGGGTCTTCATGAAAGACAGTTAGGTCAGTCCAGGACCTGAGCTCAGAGTTGCCTTCAGCTTCTCCCTCAGGAGCACAAGTCAAAGTTTATTTCCCTGGACAGCAAGTGTTCAGACAGAAGATGGGGAAGGACTTTGGCCTCTTCTCAAGGCAGGAGCTCTGTTTTTAATCCCCACTGATATGAGGATGCTAATAATTGACCAGTGGGAGGCTTGTACAGGGGATTGCTGGAAGACTGGGGACAGGAGGGCTGAGACAGCAGGACAGCCCCTTTGTCACAAAGGCAACAGAAAAATGGCAACTCATCCTAGCACAGTCGACACCACTACCATTCATCTATTAAAGTCAAGAACCTGTTAGGAAAACATGTCTGGAACCCTCCGTTTGAAGCTCAAGCTTTGGACTTTGAAATCCCTTCCTGCCCTCATTCTGAATAGAAACAGCTGGAGGTAAATTCAACCACTGAATGATTGACTTGCTTTCTGACCCAATGATTTAGTTGTCTGGTGCCAATTAACCTCTATACTACCCAGAACACTATGCTTTGGTTCATATGCCCTTGCGGTCTCTCTGTTCCCTAACTGTCCAATCACAAGTAAATGTCTGCTGTTTGTGTCTGTGTGGCATGTGGTGATCTTCCTTGGAATCTGTCCATGTACTACTAAACATTGTTGCTTCTATGCCCACACCCTCTCGTCCATGCTTTGCCCCGCATCTCTGAGCACACACATCCTGACTATAATGTCTGCATCATAATGTTTGCCTCCTGAGCAAAGATATAACAGACCCTCTCTACCCTGGCTCCCTCAGCTCACACTTGGAACTCCTCAAGACAATCTGTTCTTCCTGCAAAGTTACCCAGATTCTTAATGGCAGCATGCCTGGGAACTATTTAGCTCACACTATTACAAGACTGAAACCACTCCAGAGGGAAAGTGGAGAAGACCTCAACTCTTTTTTGAACCAAAGCCTCCTGCTAGTGACTCAAACCAGACTGAGAACCCAAATCCAAGTGCAGCCTTTCCAGGATGGCTGGTTCTCAACAAACAGTGGCTGGAGGAAAAGTCACAAATCCCCTTTTCATCTGATAGAATAAAAATGTGTGCACCTCAAGATCACACAGTTTTCACAACACAGAGCCTCTTGGCAAAGATCTTTCACTCACAGATATAATGAACACTTGAAACACTTCTAAATAAGAATGCATACACATAGCTACCATGCTATAGTTTTATTCTGCTAGCTACTTTCATGATTAGCACAGACTAACTCGTGTGGAACCTTTAGGAAAATGACCTCTATTTCAATCCTGGAAGATTACCACACATTACAGGCTGTGGTTATGTTAGGAGTCTCCAAAATGGCTCTCAATGACCCCTGTCTCATAATATGCATCATCTCAAAGAGTCCTCTCCTTAGAGACATGCTCATGACAAATGATGTAAAACAACACTGCAAGCATCTTTGAGGTGATGACTTCCATCTTGCTGGTAGGCTTTAATAAAGCAAGCTGTTTTGTGACTCAAAACAGCCTTGTCTAATGAGAGGCCCACATGACAAGAAACCAAAGAGCACAACATGCTATTATGGAACTGAGACTGCATCCAACAGTTCTTGCACCTGTCCATACTAAGTGGCAAAGGTTTCTGGAGACCCTTGCCTTCAGCCCCACTGGGCATCCTATACCATCGTACCTACTGAATCATGCCCAGACATCAGACCCACAGGGAGCAGCTGGGCCTTGTGAGGTTATTTAAAGATCAGACCCACACTCAATAGCATGAATGTCTAGGAACTTGAAGAATGCATCAACATAAAGGTTATTCAGGGAAGTTATATGAACTTCTAAATTGTCTCAGTTATTGTAAAAGGAAACAGTGAGAGAATAGAGAATAGAAAGTATTTAAAATGGGAAAAAGCCTGCTTTGGAAATAAAAATGTAAAAGGCAATCTTTTCTTCTTTGCCCTCACATACCTGGGCCTTCTAAGGTAACGTGCTATGGCAGCCTTGCAACTCCCTGGGACTTCATTACCTAAACAGCATGCTCCTTCACTCCAAACCCCATTCTAGTTTGCTTTCCTGTTGCTGAGAAAAAACACTATGACCAAAAGCAATTTAGGAAAGAGTTTATTTCATAGTCTACACTTCTAGACTACAATTCATCACTGAGTACAGTAATAGAATCCTAAACAGGAACAGAAGTAGACCCTGAAGATTAATGCTGCTGACTGGTTTGCTCTCAGGCTCACGATTAGCTAGTTAGCTTGTACAGTCCAGCAGTACATCCCAGTAGACTGGGCCCTCCTACATCAATTTTCAATCAAGAAAATGCTCCAAATACAAATCTGATCTAGGTAGTTCCTCAATTGAGGTTCTCTCTTCCCAGATAACTTAACAAGTTATGACAAGATTTACATAGATATGAATAATTTGCATTGGTATGGATTTTAAGGTCAATTTTGTTATATGTATATGCATTTCTGATCTTGATTAAGATATTATGATTATATAGTTATTTAAAATGTAATATATGATTAGGAAATATAGGTTGTTAATGGATAATCATCAATGATAGTCAAGCTTGTAGTCATGTTAGTTAGATTTTCTAGATGTATACAGATATATTTCAATTAAATAGGCATTCTTCATATCTTTCAAAGACTACAGAATATGGCATTTAAGATGTTTTAATAACTTAGGGTTTTTCACGACAATGAGACACATCTGCTCCTGGCAGCACCACTCTACTTCAAGAGGAAGATGGGCATTGAAGAGGCTCCTTATGGAGTTGGTTAGCCATTTGGGCAAGAAACTTCTCTTGCCTGAACTGTTGCATAAACTAGACACAAAAAACCTGCAGATAGAGGACTGTTTAACTTGCCTAAATGAGATGGTCCTTCAGGGTTCCTGATTCATGAAAGAGTCTGTGAGACATTCTGCAGGACACAGCAGATAGTGACTGAACTGTCTTTGGAATTTCCTGCTTCATGGAAATGTCTGCTGGATACTATGGGCCTGTAGGCTGAAGATGGATGCCCCAATGGTACAGAGGAACTTTGGGTGACTGTCCAGACAGTGAGATGTCTCTGTCATTTCTAGAGTTTTGGAAGTTGCTTATTTCTTGTTTAATTAGGTAATATTATATCCTTCTGGAGTCTTTGATAGAGTTGAAGAATGGATAGATAGTTATAGTTTTCCTTAGTTATGATAAAATATAAAATAGATATAAATATTGTAACTGTAATTCTTGCTTGATAACTGTTTTGTTATATGTAATTTTACTATGTTAAAGTTAAAGCCTTTCTTTTTTATTTAAACAGAAAAAGGGGAAATGATGGAGGAGGATCATTTGTCTATGTGTTACTTTCATTGGTTAATAAAGAAACTGCCTTGGTCCTTTGATAGGACAGAAAATTAGGTAGGCAGAGTAAACAGAACAGAATGCTGTGAGGAAGAAGGCAGTGAGGCAATCGCCATGACTCTCCTCTCCGAGACAGATGCAGTTTAGGATCTTTCCTGGTAAGTCACCACCTCGTGGTGCTACACAGATTACTAAATATGGGTTAAAGCAAGATATGAGAATTAGCCAATAAGAGGCTGAAACTAATGGGCCAGGCAATGTTTTAAAAAATACAGTTTTCATGTAATTACTTCAGATAAAGCTAGCTGGGCGAATGGCCGGACGCAGCCCGCCATTCCTTCTACACAAGACGACAGTAAAACTGTCACATATAGTGACACACCCCTAGGTCCCTGAGGCAGAGGCAGGTGACTCTCTTTGAGTTCCAGGCTATCCAGGGCTACACAGACATCAGATCCTGTCTCACCAAGTGTTTTATGAGGGTGGGAGAATGTAGGAAAACACCATAGCCTGAGTCCCTCCAGTCTACACAAGATCTCAAGCTGGCACCACAATCCAGGACCATGGGTGCTCACCCTCCCAGTGCCAGGGATCACCCTTGGGCTCTTTCTGATTCTAAAGATGCCCACTTTCTTGGCAACTCCAAGGCTGTATGAGTAACAGGAGGGGAGAGGCTGTGTCTCTATGAGGATGCATACCTAAAGGGAACAGTCAAGACTTACCCACAGGCACTCACCAGAACACTGATGTCCCGTGCCAACAAAGCCTGGCAGGCAAGCACAGCTGAATGAACTGCCTCCCTGGTGAATACACTGGGCCTGCCCCTCAGGAGCACAGGTGTGACTACCATCAAGACAAGGATTGGAAGGTGGGGCGATCACTGAAAAAAAAAAAAAAGAAAGAAAGTGTCCCAAGTGCTGAAATGTGTGTGCGTGAGTCTTTCTTTTCACAGCCCCACCCAAAGACTAACATCAGCAGCACACCTCAGGATCTTAAGGAACTTCGGGGTCTCAGACCCTGTTCTAGTCAGAATCTCAGTCTTGGCAAGAGTCCTATCTTCCTATCTCAAGATTTATATGTGTATTAGAGTTGAAACATGATCGTGTGTGTTTGTGCTTAAAATATTAGGAATGACAATAAGTCATTAAAACAGATTCTGGTTGTAGCTTGTAATTCCTCAGAGTACTGTGCACACACAACATAAGCATACATAAGCATGTGTGCGTGCATGCACGTGCAAACATACACACACACACACACACACACAGTTCCTACTAACCATTGCTAGTTTGTCATCTTACTGAAGATTGGAATATATAATTCTCTATTATCATCTAGCTCCATCAGTGGGGTAAATTTGGAATTCAAGGTCTTTTCGATCGATTCTTCAGTCTGAAGTTAGTGTGTTTTAGAACCCTAGAGGGTGTATTTATTTTGGGTGGGGTCTTTGGCCCATTGCATGAGACAGGCACCTTTCAACATGAATTCTTTATAGAGCTGAGGTGTTACAAGTCACTGTCAGGGTATGTGACAAGGCCAGGCATCCCGACTGAGAACATTCTGAGAACATTAAATATAACATATAGCTGAGAAAAACCCAGTGGTAACATACCATCAGGATAGGACTGGACTGAACTGCAGCAGAGGGTTACATCTTTAAGAAAGACACAGAATAGACTCTCTGCACAGCAAGTATAGAGACATAAGGAAATCCCAAAGCAGGGTTCAGCATCTTTTTAGTGGAAGGGAAGGAGATTTTGATACTTACAGACACAAGTGTGCTGGTCATCTGCAAATTCATAGCCATTGCGACACTCACATCTGTAACTTCCCAGCACATTGACACACACAGAATTGGGGCCACAGTGATGAAAGCCAGTGGCACATTCATTGACATCTAAGAAAAATGAGAACACAAAAGCATGGGTGAAACAGAGGGTTCTGGAAACGGAAGACCTGACAACTCGTTTTTCCACCACTATGGCGCTGCAGAGGAACTAATGGTTAACTAACGGAAACCGCAGACATGAGAGATGCTGGGTAAAAGTCCAAGTTGCAGTTCATCAGAAATAAGGAAAAACATGTTCAAATCTTTCCAGTTAAGTCATAATAAGATAATTTTTTTCCTTTCCTTTTCTTTTCCTTTCTTCCTTTCTTCCTTTCTTCCTTTCTTCCTTCCTTCCTTCCTTTCTTTCTTTCTTTCTTTTTGACAGGGTTTCTCTGTCTTGTTTTGGAGCCTGTACTGGAACTAGCTCTTGTAGACCAGGCTGGCCTCGAACTCACAGAGATCCATCTGTCTCTATCTCCCAAGTGCTGTGATTAAAGGCATGTGCCCCACCACCACCTGGCCAAGAAGATAATTTTTGACTACTTCAGGAATTCTTTAAAAAGTAAACAATTCAGTTTTCAAAAGATTATTTCTCTTTATAACCCTAACCCCAAATACCCATCTCCAATCTATCTTCTCAAATCTAGTCAGACTCTTCCTCAATTTTCATATGACATATACATGTTATAATATAACATATTCATATAACATATACAGAGGTTAATATCATTGCCTGATAAAGACCACAAAGACTACACATACTGTCCTCCACAGACTTGGTGCTGGAGAGAGCAAAGGCTACATGACAGAAACAGACATGTCTCTTACCCACACAGCTCCGTCCGTCTCCCTGGAACCCAGGGGTGCACTCACAGGTGTAGTCTATACCTGTCCCTGGATGGCACTTTGCTGTTGTGTCACAGGTGTGGCTCCCATCATAGCAAGGGCTCACTGGTGCGGGGGCTGAGTCCACTGTGCAAAGGGAAGCAGTAAAGAGGACAGAGTGACTGTCACAGAGAGAATATGAAGAAAAGGAAGGAGACAGGAGTCCTTGCTATGTTATGAATCAAAGCTAAGGTGGATTACTTGCATCTCAAGGTTAATTTCAACAGCTTCCTTGTGCCTACTCTGTAGAACAGGGTTCTGGCTTTCAGTAGGTTTGCCTCCAGGAGAAGAAAGCATCCAGCATCTCCTTGGATTCTCAGGATAACTCTGGGCCACACTGCTGTCCCCATAAGAAAGGTAATCAAGACACAGGATAAATTACTTGAATACAGGGTCAGCAAGTGTGTTGGCAAAGACTCAGCTCCAAATTTTTGGCTCTGCGTTTGTCAGTCTTCCATTTCAAACTCACCATTTCTGTGGGTTAAATCTGACTTAACACTTCACAGGGTCTTAGGCCCTGCCCCAGTCAGAATTTCAATTTTAGCAAGATTCCTAGCTAAAGAGTTCATATGTGTGTTGGTGTTTAAAATATTAGGCACAACAGTAAGTCATCAAAACAGACCTTGGAAAAAGCTTTTATTCTCCCAGATCAAGGCATGTACTTGACAGATAGACACATACAATTTCTACTACCATTGCTACTTCATTATCTTACTAAAGATTTGAGTGTTCTATCAGGGGGATAAGTTTGGAATTCTAAGTCTTTTTTGAAAGAAAGACTCTATTATTATATGTAAATGCGTGTGTGTTCATACATGTGAGTACATGTGCATGCCACAGTGTACTTGTCAGAGGATAGCTTCATGGAGTGCGTCCACTCCTTCCACACTTCTATGGGTTGCAGGGACTGACCTCTGGTAACTGAGTTTGTGCAGTGCGCTGGTTAGATTTTATTAGCCTGACACAGTCCAGATCATCTGGGAAGGGGGAACCTCAACTGGTGAAAATCCTGTATAAGACGGGCCTATAGGCAAGTCTGCAGAGCCTCTTCTTGATTGATGATTGAGGCTCAACCGACAGTGGGGGGTGCCACCCCTGGGCAGGTGGTCCTGGGGTGTACAAGAAAGCAAACTGAGCAGGCCAGGAAGAATAAGCCAGCAAGCGGCCCTCCTCTGTGGCCTCTGCTTCAGTTCCTATCTCTGACTCCTGCCTTGAGTTCCTACCCTAACTTCCTTCTACAGACCTATAAAGTGAAGTAAACATTTTCCTCCCCAGATTGCTTTCAGTCATGGTGTTTATCACAGCAATAGAAAGTAAACTGATACATATGACACCTGACTTCCTTTTACAGACCTATAAAGTGAAGTAAACATTTTCCTCCCCAGATTGCTTTCAGTCATGGTGTTTATCACAGTAACAGAAAGTAAACTGATACATATGACAAACTCCTTTACCCACTGAGTCATCTTGCTGGTCCCCAAAACTTCCTCTGTAAAGACAGAACCAAATAAAGAGAAATGGCTTCCCAATGTCTACGCTTCTTATATTTTTGGTCCTGTACCTAGCCTTTAACGACTGAGCCATCTCTCCGGCCCCCTACACTTCTTAATCGCGTGGATCCATCTCTAAGTAAGTTGTAGAGAGTGTCATGCAGTCGTAGTTGCCACTTGTTGAGCATCCCCTCCCAGGCAGTGGTCTACATCCAACCCCATTAAATTCACACAAGGACAGGTGCAGACTGCAGACTATAGCAATAACTATGAAAGCCAAGTAACATCCTCAAGGTTACAATGAGAAGTGGTAGAGTGAGAATCAGATAACAACCCAAACAACCCCAGGCAAGGGTCCATGCCACCCACCACTCTGATGCAGCTGTCACCAGAGCAACCTCATAAAATTTTTATCTAAAGCAAAGGCACAGACAACAGGGATGAGGTTCAGATGCACAATGACTCCCAATTGCTCAGTGCAAAACCCAAATAAAATTGTTTATATCTGCTGGATTTGCTCTCAAAAATGCAACATAAAATATTTCCAAAGTTAGTGTTCCCACTGGCAGGCCCGGCCATCTCAAGGAATAGTTCCCTCCTTCCTCCTCAATGGGACAGCTCTTTTTCCCTGTCTGAAGTGTTTGCTTTACCTCAGTCTGTGGAACTGTTGACTATGACAACACTCCATGCAAAATATAGTAACTGGGGCCTGTGCCTCTGAAGTCTGTATCAGAACTCTGCCTCGGTGGGCAGGTTATTACACCCCAGTATACGCTAAGTGCAACCAGCTCGAGGGTTCTCTCACTGGTAGATGCCAGAATCTTAGCAGTTACAGACACACCTTGGCAGGACCTCTGCCTGCACTTAGCACTGGATTCCCGATCACTTCTCTCTCATTCATGACTCGCCAGCCACCTTCTACAGCTGGGACTTGTTCAAAGTAGTTGCCAGTTGCACCCTGAGTGCTTGTTTCTGCAGTTGCTTCAGGGGCTGAGCTTCCTCCTCCCAGGCCTTTGCGACTTTGTCTCCCTACCACTCTCACTTTCCTGCTGCCCAAGTTAGATTTTTCTGGTTTTCTTTAATAGTCGGTTGTAAACTGTGGTGCCTTGACTGAGATAGCTCCACTCTCTGGGAAACTCCTCCCATCCACACTATAAGAAACAGCATGGTGTGTTTCTTCTGCAGAACATTCATTATCAGTTTCCCCATCAGAACCTGAATATGAGACTGGCTATGAGTTTGTCCTCAGTTCACCTCAATGCTGGCAGAGGGAAGGGAATCTCTGACAAACCAAATAGTGGAACAGCTATCCTGGGAATGCCTCCTTCTCGACTTCTTGGGCAAGGGAGGAAAACCCAGCCTTAGTGAAGCAGCACTCAGCTAACTTGGGCACATAGGCAAGAGTTCCTAAGTCAGTCTCTAGCCAGATTTTAATTAAGAACAGGGTTACATTCTCACCGAAGGCCCCACGAAAGACAAGAACCCATTCTCCCCACAATTATTTCCTCATATTAGAATACATTCCAAAGGAAATAGTCATCTTCAAAATGCTTTAATTTGTAAGTGCTAATACTTAACCTTCTTATAGAGCAGCCCTTTCCAACATTAAACTTTGACCACAGAATATTCCAGGAAAGATTCATAAGTGTGCATGTACATTAGAGTTTATCTCCCTGATAGGCATTAAATAAAGTGAGAATTTTAGAAGCAGACCAGAATTGACCTGCACTCTTTTTTTGTTTGTTTGTTTTTTTGTTTTGTTTTTTGAGGCAAGGTTTCTCTGTAGCTTTGGTGCCTGTCCCGGAACTAGCACTTGTAGACCAGGCTGGCCTTGAACTCACAGAGATCTGCCTGCCTCTGCCTCCCGAGTGCTGGGATTAAAGGTGTGTGCCTCCACTGCCCAGCCACCTGCACTCTTAAACTACTGGACTTACATCAACACAAATATGTCCATAATCACAAGCAATGCAGTTATACAGTTAGTAATATAATTCAGAATCAAGTGCAAAGGGAAAATGTAGAGCCCATTATTAAGAAAATTGACAAAAAAAGACAAAAACTTAAAAATCAGCTATTTCAGTGAGCCTTCTGCACACAGCCACTAAGTGTAGCTTCCAGTAACATCTTGAGAAAACAGTCCTAAAACCACTTTACTATTCATAATTTCTAAGTCTGTTGGCTCTCTCCTCTTGCAGTTAAGTCAAGGGTATTCTTAAGCCATTTCATATTTCACCCACTTAAACTAGTGACTCTCTGATGGGGAGCTGGAACCCATTGACTCAATTAGAAAGGGAAGAATGGTTTCCTTAAAGGAGCCATCATTGAATGACTGAATTCATTGATGCAAATTCAACGGCTCTCTGCCCAAACATCTCCCCAAGATTCCTGGAGAGGAAGAACGGCAGCATGCTTGGGTCCTGTTCTGTGACAACAGCACAAACACTAACTGTATCTGCACCCTGTACAACCACACAGTGCCCACATGGCTGCAAGGTTATGTGGCTGAGCATGCCTTCCAGCCTGACAGCAGCCCCTCTTCTTAGGAAAGCCTAAGACTTCAAACGCTCCCATGCAGTGACAGAGGAGGAAGAGGGTTTACTTTTGGTGTCTTGTGTGTGCTTTTTTATTGTTCCATGTCAGGAACAATGAATGGTACGTCTGTGGGTAAAGCATGGTTCAGTCACAAAAGATTGAAACCCACACTCCCATGAAACCTCAGACTATCCTATGAGGCTTTTGTGAAGCTGACAGAGCCCACATGTTGCAGCTGCACTGTGTGGCGCACGTGTGGGCTCTGTGCCCAGAGCCAGGGTTTGAGTCCCAGCCTGCTGCTCACCAGCTGCGTTTCTAACTGTTTCACCTCAACATCTCAAGTTTTACATCTATAAAAGTGTGATAACAATACAGTACTGGTTGAGTAGAGGTTGCTATGGGGACTAGATAAAATAATTCATGTAAGGTACTAAGGACAATGCATGGCAATATATCATGCTATTTATTAAATATTATTTGCCTGGGTGAGAAAGAAGCTCATAAAACTAACTAGCAACTGGTAATTTTTGCTGGCTTACTCTCCTTTTGTTAAAAGAGACCCAAAGATAAACTGTTTCCCTAAATGATCCTAAAGGACTCAATAGTATTGGTGGTTCATCCTCTAATACAGTGGTTTTCAACCTTCCTAATGCTGTGACCCTTTAATACAATTCCTCATGTGCCAGTTACCTCCAACCATAATATTATTTCATTACTACTTCGTAACTGTGATTTTGCTACTGTTACAAATCATAATGTAAGTATCTGATACACAGGATATTTGCTATATGACCCCTGTGGGATGGAGAACTGCTACTCTAATGGTTCTTCTTATAGTCTTGATGCCTCCATCTGCAAGGGCAGGTGTGTGTGAGTGTGCGTGCGTGTGTGCATGTGTGTGCGTGCGTGTGTGTGTGTGTGTGTGTGTGTGTGGCGGGGGGGGGGGAGCTGTGCTCCACAGGAGCTTTTCCCTCTCCTTATGAAATACAGTTGGGTTCTTCCTTCTTGATTTGCATGCTGCTCTAAAAATTGTAACAGGCTTTCTTTTGGGCCACCAGTCAGCTCCCAAATCATGACACAGAGACGTCTTAGTTATTTATATAACCTAATAAGCTCAGTTTATTATCTGATATGCTCATTTCTTGCTAGCTCTGATAAGTTCTATTAACCCGTTTTTCTTTTTTTTTTATTAAAAATTTCCACCTCCTCCCCTCCCTCCATCCCCTCTCCCCCTTCTTCTCCAGGCCAAAGAGCAGTCAGGGTTCCCTACCCTATGGGAAGTCCAAGGTCCTCCCTGCTTCCCCCCAGGTCTAGATTTCTCCCACTTATTCTCCGTGTCTCGCCGGCCCTGCCTATCCCTCGATTGCCTAGCTATTTGTCATTCAGCTTTTTATTAGATCAATTAGGTGCCTTAGACAGGCAAGGTGACAGGCAGCACATCTTTACATAGTTAAACAAATTCAGCATAAACAAAAGCAGCCTAAACAAATGTAACACACCTTTACATAGGTAGGGTAATATTCCAGAAGAAAAAAAATCAAGTAGCATCTTCATGCATTAATTTACTACATTGTAATATCATCTTTGACTGCCCAATGCTTAGATCGGCATCCTATATCATTCTATGTATTTGGACCAGTTTCCTGTATCCAAGCAACCAAAGTAATAAACTCGGGCTTCTCCTTTCAACCAAGATCCCATCAGCTTCCTCTGTTGCTAATGTATGACTGAGCCAACACCCATACTGAATCTCTGGAGGCGTTAGGGGCCTTGAGCTCCAGCAACAACACAGATTTGCTCAGTCACCTCTCACAGATGCTGACTCTGGGCTCACAGTGTTAACAACAAACTGAGTGTAGGAGCCAGTCCCTTTATCTTCACATACCTCTTCTCCTAGGGGAAAGCATGATGAATTGGTTTAGAGAATTCAATTATCACACTGACATTTTTGTCGACTGCCTTTGCAGGCCCATCCCAGCTTGCCTAGGACACAGGGTAGGAGGTTTTTCTGTTCATGTGTTGCTTTCATTGGTTAATGAATAAAGAAACTGCTTTGGGCCTGATAGGGCAGAACTTTGGTAGGCAGAGAAGACAGAACTGAATGCTGGGAAGAATGGCAGAGTGAGAGAAGCCATGGATCCTCTGCCTGAGATGGATGCTGGTTAGAATCTCCAGTAAGCCACAGCCACGTGGTGATACACAGATTAATGGAGATGGGTTAAACTAATATGTAAAAGTTAGCCAATAAAAAGTTAGAGCTAATGGCCAAGCAGTGTTTTAATTAATATAGTTTTTTGTGTGGTTATTTTGGGTGTAGCTAGCTGGGTGGCTGGAACAAACAAGGGACCCTCTCCTTGCTCTCCTTGTAACAACTGGCGCCAACGTGATGGACTAAATCCACTTAAAAACTGGAGAGAGCTTAATTCTAGACATGAAAAAAAAAAACCCAGAGTTTAACACAGCTTTTTGCTGTTTGCTGGCAGCATGCCACAGAGAAATTTTCCTGACTCAGTAGCAGCAGCAGAAAAAAAGCTGTGCCATTTTAAAATGAGGCTTCCTGAGCCCTGCTACCAGTGCAAACTCTGGCTATGGAGTATTTGTGGGTCCGGGTGTTTGTGTGCCCACTTGGGATTGGAAGGAAAGTGGCTGAGACCATGCCAGTGGCTTGGCTCTTCCTGCCTGGGCAGGTGGTGGGATCAGGTCTACTAGGCTTGGGCATGCGGGAGAGCATGGCGGATTCCTGCCGCCATACAGAGAAATGTTTCCAGGCTACACAGTGCTCTGCGTGGCAGTTTTGGCTGTAACTCAGATAAAAAAGGGTTTATGTGCCAGTTAAAATCTCCGGTAAGCCACTGCCACATGGCGATACACAGATTAATGGAGATGGGTTAAACTAATATGTAAGAATTAGCCAATAAGAACTTGGAGCTAACAGGCCAAACAGTGTTTTAATTAATACAGTTTTCTGTGTGTTTATGTCGGGTGTAAGCTAGCTGGGTGGCCGGGACAAACAAGGGACCCTTTCCCTGTAACATGTTTGTAAAATAGTCAGCTTTTGAGGAATAGGCAGGATTACTGAGAAACTGCTAAGAACAGTTTCCACAGCCTCATCACACAGATGCCCTATCACTAGTGTGCACTACTGTGGCAGTAGCCAGTAATAATGTCCATGGACTTCATGGGGACTCACTCCAAAGGGCAGAAGAAGTCTCACTACAGAGAGCTTGCACACCATGTTCAGTTCTGCACTGTCTGCAACATCAAGGAAACAGAATCAGCCTAGATGTCCATTAACAGATGAATGGATACAGAATATGTGGTTCATATATACAACGGACTTTTATAGTTACCAAGAAAACAGAAATTGTGACATTGGCAGAAAAATGGATCACCACATTGTTCTCTCTTATTTAAAGAGCCTAGATTTTAATTTTTATATAGATGTGTATGTGGGAGGGGGTTGTGGATATAGGATACAAAAATAGAAAAGACAGAGAGTAACAGAATATATATTCATGAAAGAATGGGCTCCACTCTTGTGGGAGCAAGAGGATAAGTGAGGGACAGCAAGGTAGCGAGACAGGAAAGGGAAATAGAAAAAAAGTGCCATAATGAAATCTACCTTGTATATTCATTTGTAAAAATAAATACAATTTTAAAGTGATAGGGCTTGGACTCAGTGGTTAAAAGTCCATGCTGCTCTTCCAGAGGATTGGAGTTTAGTTCCTGCCACCCATATCAGTCAGCTCACAGGCTGCGGGAACTCCGGCTCCTGTGCATCTGATGCTTCTGGCCTCCTCGGGTACCTGCACGCGTGCATGCCCCTCTCTCTCCCACCCCACCTCCATGCACATCAAGGCTCACTCTGCCTGCAAGCCTACACATGCGTAAGAACATATACCCATGATCAGAGCCTTCACCAACCTAAAAAGGTCCTCCTCTTCCATATATCCTCCTTTCTACCCAAAGGCCCGGCAATCACTGCTCTTTTTACTGATTCTATAATTCTACCTTCTCCAGTGTATCAGAGTTGGATACACTGCTTATTGAGGCTAGATTCCACATCTAAGGTTCTTTTGTGCTCTATTGCTTTGATAGGCACAGAACATTGCTATCTGCACAGGTAAGCCTAAGGTCCAGTGAAATGTAAACCAGAGTTGCTTCTACCAGTTTCCTTTAGCTGAGATGCAATCCTTGTGACACAATCCACCCACTTGAAGGGCAAAACTAAACAATTTTCCCGATACTCAGAGCTGCACAACCACCATGATGATTGATTACTAGGGCATTTATCACTCTAAGAAGAAACCCTACACTCTTAAGTGACTTTGTCTATTCTCTTTTGTCCATGAACAACTGTTAGTCTACTTGGTATCTCTCTGGATTTGGACATTCTACGTCCATGGAATCATGCATTGTGTCTTCTTTCACTTAGCACAGTGCTGTCAAATGCAACCCAAGCTGTAGGATAAATGAGTACTTCGTTTCTTTTAATGACTGAGTAATAGTCTATTGTATGGCTTTAGGACTACTTAGTATGTGTTCTCTGGTTGATATTCATCTAGGTTGCATCTACCTGTTGGATATTTTGAATAATGCTGCTGTATTAGTATTATCATCACTGTCACAAAATACAGAAAGAACAGACTTATGCTAGCTCAGGTTTTAGTCTACAGTCTGACTCCATTGCTTCTAACTGTGGCAAGGTAGACTATGACAACAGTAGTATGTGGCAGAGGCCACTCATGACTGGGGAAGATAGGACAAGATATAACCTATGTGACCCATGATCTACTTCTTCCAGCTGGTGCCCTTCTCCTAAAGTTTCTGGAACCTTCCAAAATAGCATGACCATCTGAAGACAAAGCCTTTAGTACATATAAGTTTAGGTCTTACATTTAGGTCTTTGGCTCACTTTGAGCTGGGTTTTGCTTATGCCTGAGGCAAGATAGGGGTCCCATTTCTTCATTCCTTTGCATTTGGAAAGTTGTTTCAACATTACCTGTTTAAAAGACTTATTTTCCTATTGAACTATTTTGATATCTTTGTCAAAATAAAACAAACCAAACCAAAATACAATCTGAGGCTGGCCATGTTGATAAAGTCTGGGAACCTGAGTCCAATCCCCAGAACTCATATAAAAGCAGAAGAGAATGGATTCCACGAACTTGTTGTGAACACCAATGCATACATGCCACAATACACATACACCTACCCCATTATACACAATAATAACTAAAATTTGTGTTGAACTGACTGCAAACATAAGCATTTAACTTAGATGCTCACTTAAATTCCACTGATTTAAATCTCTATTCACATATCAGGGGAAAAGGCTGACTGGTACCACCCAGCCCCAGGTGCCATACTTTAGTTTCTGACATTTGGCAGGGGCTATGTTCTCAACGTTCTACACTTGCCTGTCTCCACAGGGCCACACTTTATTGACTTTATATCTGGCACTCACAGAACTTTAATTGTACCAAAACTGTTTGATGGCTTCTAAGAAAGGATATGATTTTTGCTCAACAAAAATAATATACGTACCTTCCACAGGGCCAATCTGATTGGTCACAGCAAATCGCAGCACACCCTCATCCTCACTGTATAAAGCAAAAGCCCGGTCCACAGTCAGCTGCTGGGTGGCAGGGATGGCCAAGTGTCTGGGGGCATGCCGGCATGCCTCGTAAGTGATGTTCTGGTCTATGTGGTAGGACCATGTTTGGTTGATAGAACCAGAAGTGAGAGAGAAACTTCTGGAACTGGAAGAGGTCACAGCTGTAACGAACATTTTAGAAGCAAATTGGTAAACTTTTAAAATACCAAAACCAAAAATGTTCGTATTAGCAGTATCTTTTTCTACAGTTTTTCACCCCATTCCTGGAGCAGGTTCCACTGAGAACTTCCTGAGTTCTACAGGAAGCTTGGAAGAAAAGATTTAGAACCCCCTTGAACCTGAGTGGAGACAAAGCCATACTGCTGAGGAGGAGAAACAATGGCTACACTAAGAACAAGCATTATAATGTGCTGGTGTGTTGAGAGCCACCGGTGTGCTGAGAGCTATCTACACACTGCCTGCTTTGCTCCTCGTAGCTGTGCAGGACAGGCACTGATAATGTGTGCAGAGACCACAGGGTTTAGATGAACAGCCCAAGACGCGGGGCCTGGATGTGGTAGAACTGAGATACACTCCACAAAAGGAATACTCCAAACGCTCTGCACTTTGGTAAGCTGGCAGGACACCAGCAGAGGAAAAGTTGTCCCTCTCTGGCTGGGAGGCATGCCAGGATTGGCCCCAGTATATTCTGGTCACAGTTAGAGTCTATGTTCTAATCTTTTCCCTGTAACCAGCTCTCATGCTAGAAGCTGGGGGCACCGAACAGGTGCTGCTCAAGCCAGACCAAATTCAAAATGACAACAGTGACCGCTGGAGCATCTTGCATGTGGCTAGTACTGCTATAAATGTGTCAGGCTTTTGACATTGTGACACAACACTACCATCTACAAATGTGTTGGACTGTATTTATAGCTAGCTACTCTGGGGCAGATGTAGCCCCCAGGCTGCAGGCTGGACACACAAACAGCTTATTACACCTTATGAAATTTATCAACTGTGTTAGGCAATCAGAAAAGATGTTTTTATTCTCATGCTAAAAGAGAAGAAAATAGGCTTTCTGTTGATTTTTTCTCCATAGACTTTAAATGGCAAATCTAGGATGTGAATGAATTTTGTGTTGTCTCCAAATCCCAGGTTTGTTTCATAGCACTGTAATAGCATCTTTGTATTTAGTTTAAAGAAAACTAAAATCACCAGCTGAAACAGTTACAGGACAATCATAAATCTTAATTGTCAATACAGTCCATGCCCTTTATCAGTTATTGTCACCAGAAAATAATGTGCAAAGATATTGACATCCTTATTATGTTCAGCAGTCATTACTCTGCTTGCCTATATGATGAATACTTTCTGAAAAACAAGAACAAAATTATATCAGTATCACGTTGTGCTCCCAGGACATTCCTGTGTTTTAAGCCTTGTCACTATCTCATTGAGGCAGACACCATGTCCACTTTACAGCTGTGGAAACTCACACATACCTGAGTCCCCGTGATGATAAAGCTCTCTGTATGGAGCAATGAGAGCTGTGAAATTCGCCGGAATGAAGGGCACCTGACCCTCAATGTTGGTCTTAATGCTCAGATAGTTCTCTGGGTCAAGCCCCTCAGCAGTTTGAGTGATACGAACCCTCTCTTCTCCAGGGTAAAACGTAACTTCCACCTCATGCACAAAAGTAGCACCTGCAGGGAACAAAAACTCAGCAAGTGGGTGACAAGAGGTCTTGTTTAAATAAATTATTCTGAGGATTGGCTGGGGCTTGGGTGGTAGATTATCTCCCTATGGTCGAAGAGGTATGGCTTCAAGCAGCTAGTCACTAGTGTGTTTGTCCTCTTCCGGTCTCTGATGGAGACAGTACCTAAGGAGAGCATGCCAGCTTGTGCTCAGTCCTAGCTGCAGACCTCCTGCTCTCCAAAAGTTCTCGAATCCTCCTTTAGCCAATGGCCTTTAAGATTATTACACCTACTCCAATTTATTGTAATTGCCTTACAACAGGTAAGATCAGAAAAATTACAAGATGACTAATAATATTACCATTTAAGAATTTAATAATCATTTTGCTTAAGCCATGGATGGTGTTCTGCAAGGCTTATGTGATTTTCCTTATACATTCATTTATTTGATTTTGGAAATTAGTTTTATTTTTAATATTATCTTGTTAAGAAAATGGTTTGATAACTGAGCCAAGAATGAGGCACTTTTAAAAATGATACAGTCTTTACAGACTAATAATGAACAGCTAGTTGGAAAACTTAACAATATGGAGAGGGATAGCATTAATTTAACAGACAAAATCCAGTCAATGTTGAAGGGTGCTGAGACATTATCTGAAAGAATTCATGCTGCTGAATTTAATCAAAATCTGTAAAAAGTTCTGATAGATTAATCGATAAGGTATCTCTCCATGAAGTTAATATGCATGCCATCAAAATTATGTCCAAAGATGAGATGTATCTTTATTGAACAAATTTTATACCTTGGAATCCTCAATAAGGGCATTAAAATGAAACACTGGCCAGGAGATTTAGACTTTATACAAGGCAGTGGTAAAGAGATTTAAAAAGATTGAGGAAATTATCAAAACTGATGAGGGGACAGAAGGCACAAGGGCAGGATTTAGCTTCATTAGTATGTGCCAGACTCCGGGATGGCTTTCCCAGAGCTTTAGCTGCCTATCCAGTAATTTCATTTGAGAAACCATCTGGCACAAAGTACTCTAAGGTAGTCAAAGAATATATATGGCAATCTAAAAGAAATTAAACAAGCAATAGTATCTTATGACCCAAATTCGCCATTTGTTAGGGAAATGGTTAAAACGTGGGCTTCAAACAATAAGACTACCACACATGACTGGTTTCAATTAATCTCAGCTGTCCTAGAAGATGGACTTCAGCTACGTTGAAAGTGTTATTGGTGAAAAGAGGCAAAACTTTTAGAACAACAGGGAAAAGCTAAAGGATTTGAGGCTTCCCAAGATCAAATTCTTGGTGAGGGCCATTACTCTGATCCTCAGGATCAGGCTCTCTGCAACAAACACACCTTGTCCCTACGTAGCACAGCAGCTTTTAATGCTTGGGACAGAATTAAGGAACCAAAAAAGAGAATTAAATCATATACTAGGGTTAAACAGGACCAGAGAAAAGTCCTTCAGTGACTTTTTAAAAAGATTAACTAAGACTGTACAAGTAGGTGTAGCAGATTCAGAAGCTAGATGAGTACTTATTAAATCTCTTGCTTTTAAAAATGTCAACTTAAATACAGAAAGATCCTTGGGCCTTTAAAGGTTAGATCAGCACAAATAGATGAATGGATCTTGCATACAACAAATGTTGAGGCTTGGGTAGGAGAAGCGATTTCCAATGGTATGAGGAGACACCAAGATGCCAACTGTTTTAACTGTGGTAGAATAGGACATCTGAGAAGGGATTGTAGACAAGAAATTCCTAGGAATAATGTCTCTATGGAAATGACAAGAATAAGTGGTCTCAGCCTTCCGGGATATGTAGGCCATGGAAATGTTGACATTGGGCCAATAAATGTAGATCAAGAAAAGACAGACAAGGCCACCCGATACCATTGGAAAACTTCTTGGGGGACCTTTCACAGGCCCCCATGTCAAAAATGGTCAAGTCATTCTCAGTCACTGTGGAGAACATGTTTCACCAGAAAAACTAAAAATCCATTGCCTACTGTAAAAAAAAAAATCATACTGTTCTGGATGACATGGAGAATGGTTAGTGTGAGTTTATCTACACTAATATAATATAATATAATATAATATGATATGATATAATATAATAATAGTGAGTAAGAGTGAATACTTGTGAGTTACTATTTATGGACAATTTACATTGTTATAGATTCTTGTATATTGATATAAGTTAAAATTATATTTGTTATATTGAATATGCTATTTCTGTTTACAATATTTATAAAGTTATTTTACAAATAATTGTGCAAAGTTATTTTGTCAGATTGTATGCATGCATGTTTCTATCTCTGCTTAAGACATTTTGTATATGGGTACAATTTTAGGATTTATCATATTGCATTATATATTTCTACCTCTGATCAAGATACTTATACACTGTTTACATTTTTATGTCATTGTCCTCATTTACTGCACAGTTGTTTAAAGACTGTTTAATATTCTAATATGAAGTCTTAGTCTTTAAGTTATATAGGTATTAAGAATTATAGGTCAATAGTCATTCATGTTTGTCATACTTATAGTCAGACTAATTATGTTCTTTAGATACATAGAGATTGTATTCTGAATAGATATGTGATCTTCAACCACTTCAAAGACCTGTAGAACATGGTATTTAAATAACTTAGGGTTCTGTTGACGTGAGACACGATTGTTCCTGGCAGTACCAATCTATTCCCAAGAGAATGTTAAGCACCAAGGACACTTCACTTGGAGCTTGTTTTCTTCTTGGCAAAACTGGCCTTGGGCAAAGAACTGCCCATACCTCGACCACTGATAAAATACATGATATCTGAACAGGACAAGCAGAATACAGGAAAAAAGACTGCTAAACCTTGCTAAGACAAGGTCAGATGGTTATAAAAATTTTCCTGCTTCGAAAAAGGGCCTGTCAGTTACTCTAGGCCTCAGCCAAAGTTGGTTGCTTCAACATTGCAAATGAGACTTTGGGTGACTGCCCAGGTAGCCAGTTGTCTGTTATCTACTGCACATCTTGGAAGCTGCTTGATTGCACTTCCTGCCTAAACAAGTAATATTATTATCTTCCTTCTCAGGCTTTCGATGGGGTTGAAGATTAGATAGTCCTAGTTACCTTCTTCTTAAGATCTAGCCAAGCCATTTCTAATACAAGACTGAAACTCCTTAGGATAGAATGATTATTAAAACATTTAGCATATATTCCTTGCTTAATATTGTTTATGTTGGTTTTAATTCTAATTTTTATACTTGATATCACATCTGTTCTTAGTGCATATAGTTTTGTATTGGTTTTGGAACTCTCTTGTTTAGACAAAAGGGGAGGTGATGGAGAACCTCTTTGGCCTTTAAAAGGTTGGACCTAGTTGGGGCATAACTTAGGGTACTAAAAAATTGTGATCCCACCCAGCTTAGCCTGTTCTTCCTGCACTCCACACCTTGATGTTGTGCCTCCATTCCTGTTCCACGAGTTTTCCCTTTTAATTAAGGTTTTAAGAAAAACCTTAGAATACTCTATTCAGAGTTAGCTTGCAATTATTTGGTTCGCGTTTACCCCCATTTGACACTTTCAGCATCACTCAAAGAGTTTCAATTGTCCCTGCCCTGTTTTCTTTATGGGAGTCTATATTTTGTAAGAGGTAATGCAGGACTTTCTTTCTCAGCTTGCCAGGGTTAGCAAATCCCACATAAACCAGGATACTCAGAAAATTTAAATGTCACATATATGCTATGTAATATAATATGGGCATGCTTATATTTTAAAACTTTTTTTCCAAAATTCAAGTTTAACTTTGCATACTATATTTTAGCTACTTTTGACACATGATTTCATTTAAATCTTGAGTAAAGGTGACATACTATATATCCTTTAAATGGCAGCTGAGCCATACAGCAAGAGGTGGGGAAAGAACTTGTCTCACAGTACAGGCCTTTGTGTGCAAGAAAGGAAATGTGTGTTGCTAGTAGGAATATGAGAAGCCAACCCCCTCCCCCATGCTCCCTGGCTGTGAAAGGGAGAGGTCTAGCTAGCAGTGCTGACATCTACTGAGGACTCCCCCCGGCCCTCTATGGTCTCACAGCCACCCAGGTGATCTGTGTGAAGTTATGTCTGAACAGTAGCAATCTCCCAGAGCCTTTAAACTTTTCCACTCATGACTTTTACCAAGATCTCCTTACTCTGCCTGGATATATATGTGTAAGATATGGACACATTTACAGATAACAGGCCATAAAGAAATATATTTTAAAGCAATGCTTTGGTATACATATAAATTTACCACTTATTAAACATGAAAGAAAACTTGCATTTTACTGAGATGGACTTGCTTGTTTTATTCATTTTATATTTATTTATTTAGCTCGTTATTTTATCCAAAGAATTATCTCTTAGCTGAAGATTTCACACTGCAGGAGAATGAATATCTTCAGTCTTTTCAGAGTCAACTAACTGGCTTTGACTTTGGAATTATTGATGCTGAAAATGTCACAGAATGGCAGAAGTACATTTAGGGACACCTCAGCAATTGTTGGAAAATGCATCCTAATCCTTACAACCTACAAATCATTGAACAATTTTCAAGAATCAAAAGTCTGAAACTCAGAAAACAGTTTTCTTTCTTTCTTTCTTTCTTTCTTTTTCTTTCTTTCTTTCTTTCTTTCCTTATTATGTATACAACATTCTGCCTCCATGTATGGCCGCACGCCAGAAGAGGGCGCCAGCTCTTATTGGTTGTGAGCCACCATGTAATTGCTGGGAATTGAACTCAGGACCTCCGGAAGAGCAGCCAGTGCTCTTAACCACCGAGCCATCTCTCCAGCCCCCAGACAACAGTTTTTTAAAATCTAACATATTGAGAGAATGATTCAAAGCTACATTAACTTGATACATACTTGCTAAGGGATGACAGTAGAAGACAAGAAAACTTTATCAGCCACTAAAGCAGCATGTTTCTGTAGAGTAGAAAGCTTTGTATGAACAAAGAAACAAAAAACAAAACAAAAACAAAAAACAAACAAAGAACGTTGCAATTCAAAACCTCCAATGGACTGGAGTCTGAGCACAGGTGTCCCAGGAAATGTTTTACAAAGTGTGTGCACTGTGTGCTCAGAGCCAGGGCTGCTTTGGAGTCACACCACAGGCAAGTGCTGTCGGAAACACCCATAGTCATTGTGGGTTTATACATTTTTTTTTGAGCAATCAGAAACCTTTTTAGCAAGCTCCACACTCAGTTGCATGGCCTCCTCTGTAGCAATGACGCAACTTAAAAAGCTATGACCTAAGTATGTCAAGGGTATGGAGGGAGAGTTAGAAAAAGATCTGCAGGTGTTCCACAGGTACCACTTTTGAATTCTCATTTGCCAGATTTGAGCTCTACTCACCTGTGAGGCTGAAGCCATTCTCAGAGCCTGGCTTCTCCAAAGCAAAGAGCCAGCCAAACAGGCCTCCAATTGGGATGACAGGGAGAAGGGCCTGGGCTGCCAGCTGTGGGATGTGGCTGATGGCAGTGTAGGCTCTGCCGTCATTGCCCACAATGTAAGCATGGAGATCCACATCAGTAAAGTGCACAGGAGTGTGACCCACTCGGAGGTGGCCACTCACTTTCCCATTGACTCGGTGAGGTGCTCCTGAAAGGCAAGAAGAAGCCTCTCAGTTTTTGACCACATCAAGATTAGGACACGTGTACAGAGATAAAAGAACTCCCCTGACTACACCTAATCAACTACTCAATGACCCAGCCTGTCTGTAATCTCTCCTATCCTTCTTTTCCCTCCCCTGTAGCTCTACAGAGTTAGGAATGGGCAAGTGGAATCATTTCTAATTAATTCTTAAATTGAGAATAAATAAATAAATAAAGTATTTATTATTCAGGCATCCAATCATTAGCACTATGATTCGCACAGTACAGACATAAGGATTACCAATCACAGCCCACACTGTAACTAGAAACAGGCAAGTGGTGACGCTATTCACACAGTAGCCCCAGTTTGTCAATCACCTTCTGGCAGACAGTGCTTCCCATTTCCATAAAACCTGGACTGGCAGTAGCAGCAGAAGCCAGTGGCATAGTCGGTGCAGAAGGCATGCTGGGAGCATTGGCCATGGCTGTGTTCACAGGTTTCCCTGTTGGCACTATTATACGTGAAGACTGCAAAATTAAACAAACAAGCATCAGAAAGGCCAAAGGATTCCAGTATTGTCACCACTAAACTTCATCAGACACCACATCTGCTCTGCAAAGTCAGCTTGGACTGTAATAAACAAATAGGATTTGATGCTGAGGATATAGGAATAACATGCAGCCTGGGGGATTAACTTGCTTTATATTTTCTGGCAAGAAGCTCAGGTCATTGTTGCCAACTGGGCCTTATTACAACACTGGTGAGCTTGGCTGAGAGCAGTCGTGAAGGCAAACCATTCTTGCAGATTAGTGATATAGGTGGGCCTTCTGTTTATGTGTTATTTTCATTGGTTAATAAAGAAACTGCCTTGACCCTTTGATAGGACAGAAAATTAGGTAGGCGGAGTAAGCAGAAAAGAATGCTGGGAAGAAGGCAATGAGGCAGACGCTGTGGAGCCAGCCACCGGGTCAGACATGCTGAATCTTTCCCGGTAAGCCACCACCCCGTGGTGCTACACAGATTATTAGAAATAGGTTAATCAAGATGTGAGAGTTAGCCAGTAACTAACTCTCTAGAGATAATGGGCCAGGCAGTGTTCAAAAGAATACAATTTGTGTGTTGTTATTTCCGGGGCTAAGCTAGCCGTGCGGGAGCCAGGCAGGACGAAAAGCAGGCCTGCCCACAGCTCCTCACTACAGATTAGAGTGTACTTTATGTACTTGGTGAGTAAAAGAAAATGACCAAACACTAGTAATTTTGTACGATTTGACATAAGAGTAGTGATCTTCAGGGAGCTAAGATCCAGGGTCTACAGCTAACTCTTAAGGAACCAGAACTTAAAGGAAAGGATGCACATACACTTGCCTTCACACGCAGAAGGGTTGGGGAGGAAAGAGAGAACAAGGAACAGGGTTAAGGAGCTTTTGGTCCTTGCAGGCTTCGTCCTTTCGAACACAAGTATGATTTCCATGCAACAGAAACAACGTAGGCTATAGTCATAGATGCTCTACAAAGCCACAGTAAACCAGAGGAAGCTTGATGCTCCAGGTATTGTTGTCCAAACTTCCCACATACTCTACCTGTCACAGAGAGATATTTGTGCAAGACAGATAAGGGAAGGAGGGAGGAACATAAGAAAGAGAGGAGCCTGGAGCCAACGTCATCATGTCATTGTTTATAAAAGAAATGGCCAAAGTGTGTCTTGAAATTGGGGCACAGTTGTTTTTTTATGGGTTTTTTTTTTTTTTTTTGAGACAGGGTTTCACTGTAGCTATCAAGCCTGTCCTGGAACTGGCTCTTGTAGACCAGGATGGCCTTGAACTCACAGGGATCCACCTGCCTCTGCCTCCCAAGTGCTGGGATTAAAGGTGTGTGCCACCATGGCCCGGCTTGATAAATTCTTTTTACCAGGAAGCTGAGCAATGCACCAATTCTAAGTACGGCCACCAGGAGGCAGGGTGGCTGGCTGTGCATGCTCTACCTCTCAGTCACAAGAGTCAGAGTAGGCTAGTGATGGATGGATTTGTGCTGTATCCCTGCTATTTGTTATTTTGTGAAGACTTACAGCCCCAGTCATTCTAAGCCTCATCAGGAAATGAAGAGTGAGGATGAAGAGGGAACTAGAGATGGGAGAGCTAGGTTAATTTAACTGAAACATTAGGTGTGATAGCATGAGTCACAGAGCCTGCTGAGTAACTCACAGGAGACTACATGCAAAAGGGTTGTTTTAATATTCATTTATTTATTAGAAAGGGTGAGAGTGTGTGTGATGGTCAGAGGACAACTCATGGGAATCAGCTCTCTTTTTACCACATGGGAGGTGCAAGAAAGGGAAGAGAGTACAACATGAGTCAGTGTGGGAAACCGGGAGCTGCGCTCAGATGACTAGTAGCTTTGACAGCTGCTGAGGGTTGCTTGGGGAAACCCATCTCCACCTGATAGCACTGACCACCCTCAGCATGGCACCACCTACTCCTTACAGCGAGGGTTAGTACATTAGAAACACTGAGGTAACTGTTAAAAAGACAACTTCTGAGGCCCACCTTAAACCCACCAATTCCTTCCCAACTCTCCATGGGATTGGAACTGCCAGAAATCTATGCTTCAGCCTCCACCAACTACAGATAGTCAAAACGCTATGCTGCTGAATCTGGGTAAGCAGGGACAGAGGCTGCCAGGTTTAAACAATATCCATTTGTCATAGACTTGCCATCTGAGGTTGGATAATGGCAAAAGTAGCTTGGTGTTAGGGATTTTTAAGTCTCACTTTCCCCCCACTTAACTAAGAACGAACAAACAAACAACAAACAAAAAACCTTTCTCATATCCTTTAACAGAAAAAAACAATGGGGTAGGGATATATGAGAAAATGAAGCAAGGACGCTGCCAGAGTATTGAGCCTTATCCTAATTGGGAGTTTTTAACAAAAATAGAAATTTCTCCTCTTTACTTGTTCCAATCCATCTTTCAATCTGTGTTTTTTTTTTTTTTTTTCAGAAAGGTTTAAGCACTTGTCTTCAGTCCTTGGCTTGCCTGCCCTCCTTACAGAGGGCAGCCTCGGGAGAGGAGGCCCCACAGTGCACATCATAGAGGACACATAGAGGGTTTCCCGAGCCTGTCCCAAAGCAGCTGGGCACACTTGTACCTTTAAAAACACCTTAAGAACCAGAATCAATGTTTTCACTACAGAACAGATCTGTTCCCCCCAAATTTCCTCACCTCCCAGAATGGCAGACTACACAGGAACAGCACAGCCTCTTTTGCAGCAGCAGCGGCAAGCATCCCTTCCAGTCCCCGCGCCACTGTTTAAGTATATACAGAGCTTGTGACGATGTTGGGGGCAAACTGCCTGTAAGACTTCGTTGTGGCTGCTTACATCAGCTCAGCTATCAGGACACTAATAGGCTCCCTCTCACCTTCTGGACAAGGGACGGTACCCATCTCTACACACAGGTGTTCTCAGAGGTATGAGAGCCTCAACTCACAGACTGTCTTGGCAACCTGGAGGTAGCCATGAGTGTGAGGCTTTGGAGCCTGGTGAGCTGGGTTGAGTGTACAGTCTGCTAGAATATCTTCAAAAATGAACGTCCAGTGAGCAGTATGCTTGAGTAACCCACCCTGAAGGTCAGAAAGAGAGAGGAACTTGGGCTCTTCCAGGATGAATGACTTCCAAACAGAAAAAACAGGAGGACCCCTGCGTGGGGCAGAACACACAAGGCATCTGGAGTCTAGGTGCCCTCCCTTCTAGTTCATATTGTCACCTGAGATAATATCCAGGTTCTTACAGAAGAACCTCAACAGGTTCAAGAGCACTAAAACCCCTTAACCAGCCTCATTTCCTGTTCCTCACAATACAGGCAGTCGGATCCCTATTAGCTGAAGCTTCATTGACAAAGCTTATCCCACTTCATTCCTGGCTGCATTTCCACTTCTGTACCCATCTTTCCAGAATGTTCTCAAAATCCCACCTTTTCTTGCCTCAGACTCAGATCCCCACAACTTACTTCAAGCATCCCCTCCTTCAGTAAGACTCCCCGGTTGCAGCCACAAACACAGATGTAACCTCTCCATGGAATCCCTGACCCTGCTGCAATGTCTGCTTTGTACTCAGAGAGACAGTATCTATTTCCAGCCTTCAATACAAGAAGGCTGACACTAACTCGCTCCAGTCAACCCTGAGCATCAACCAAGACAATGCAATCTGAAGTCTCTTCTTAGGGAAGCAGCAAGCACAGTGCATCTCAAGCAATCTTCCCCCATGGTTCCCACACAGAGTAAAGCATATGGGTGCTTGAGTAATTTCTTGGCATGACAACAAACTACTGTTAAATATAAGTCACCTCAGATAAAGGATGCTCACACATTCCCTGTATTGCTGGCTCTATGAGCTATGAAATCAAAGAAGCAAAAGATACAAGGCCAGAACCTGAGTGTGCCTGATGCAGATGTAAAGATTTGCAAAGAATCTAGAATTCTGAATTTTAAAAAGTAGTCTATAAGTGGCCAAGCATATCAGTTCACAACAGCATCCCAGACCCAAGGAGACAAAGGCAGGTGGATATCTGTGAGTTTAAGGCCAGGCTGGTCAATGACGTACAAGTTCCAAGCAACCTGGGGTTAAAGAGTGAGACCCTATCTCAAAAGTAAACAGAAGACAGTCAGCCAGGCAGACAGACAGATAAGAAGATAGGTATATATATATATATAGATATATATATCTATATATATATATATAGATAATCTATAGGACTGGGGAAATGGTTTAATCAGGAAAGTATTTGCCTTGTAAACATAGGACCCAAGGTTAATTTCCAGAACCCCTGTTACAAAAACAAAACAGAGAGGCAGTTCCCTAGGGCTTCCTGGACACCAGTCTAGATGATGTGTCAAGTTCTAGGCCAGCAAGGGCCAGTGTTGATTGCACTCCTGAGAACACTTTCAAGGTTGTCCTCCATCCTCGACACACAAACATATGTACCTGTGCACACATGTGCGTCCTATTGAAAGCAACACTAAAAAGAAAGATTTTCTGGGCCTTTAACAAAATCCTAATTTCCTGGTTCAGCAAACTGAATGCTACACACTTAAAGGGGGTGCTAAAATTTATTGGGAATGGTGTTTTCTATTCAGAAAACAAGGTTCAGACAGTGTCTTTCCTCCAAGTACAAAACAGAGCTGCAGGGGAGCTTGACTGTTAGAAGGATCTGTAAATTCTAGAACCTTCAAAAAAAATCTATGTTTTTGGATTGACAGAAATCTGTAAATCAGAAAAGTCAGAAATCATCTGACTCCATCATAGAGAAGGAAATCAGGGCCAAAACTTTTCAATAAATCCTTTTTGTTTTCACTTTTTCTGTTTTCCATCCTGTTGTCCATTCTTCACCTGTCCTCCATCCTACTTCTGATGTCTTAAATCCTCAAAAATTAGTAACAGCAGCCACTATTTTCTTTTAAAGAACTAATGTAGGTGCTGAGAACTTCACACATATTCACATCAAATCCTGGCAATTTATCTACAAGAAATTAGAGGCTTAGGGGTGAAATAAATTGCCTCAATATAGCCAAGATTCAAAAATGACATCAGTTCTCTTCTATCACTTAATGCTCTGTTAAACACAAAGTGGCTTTCTTTCTTCCTGAAATATTTCTCCAAACAACTTCCTGAAAAAAAAAAAAAAACAGGCATAGCAGCACCCAGAAGATCCTCTCTGTTAGTTCAGTCATAGCAGCACCCAGAAGATCCTCTTTGTTAGGTCAATATTTTTTTGTCAAAACATTGGAACAACTGAAAAGGTGAAACAATGCAGAAGGCTGTCACCTCTGACCTTTTCCTCCCGGCAAAGATCAGTGAACAGGCCATGGAACAAGAGGGATGAACCCAGGGCAAGTTTCCTAGTTATCAGTGTGGGTGAAGTGCTGTCCCCTCTGGGCATTTCCCACCTCCCTCCAGCTCTAGCCAGTGAGTCATGCAATGAGATTAAGGCTCAAGGAGGCAAAGGCCACAGCCAAAGGGGCCAGAACCAGAAAAAGAAAAAAACAAAAAAACAGCAGACACAGGTGTCTACTGTGTCCTCCCCATGGGCTCTTCAGCATGTTTGTCTAAGCCTGCACAACTCACCATAGTCAGAGCCAAATGGCCTAGTCCTCCACCCTTTATCGCCTATTAACCCTCCAAATGGCTCCCCTTCCCTGAACTTGCAAACTAAAATATTTCATTACACTTGAGAGGACAGCTGGCACAGTGGCCCCGTTCTTTCCCCACTCCATGAGGCTTAACTTTTAGAACACATTATTAATGGTCAGGAGATTCCAAGAAGAACTCTCCTGCCAAGATTTACTTGGAAAAGGGAATTTATCTCCTTAAACACAAGAAGAAAAAATCAGTTCCATCTTCTTGCTAAATTTTTCACCTATTCACTTAGGAGAAAAATCACAATTCTATGTTAGTTTTGTTTTGGAAAAGGTCTCACTTCATAATCCAGGGTGGCCTAGAATTCTCTATATAGCTCAGGCTGGCCTTCAGTCTCAGCCTCCGCTGTGCTGGGATTACCGTATGCAAGTGACATCGAGCTTGACAATTCTACATTTTTTTAAACGAAAACTTCAAACATTCGGTTTTCGAATGCACTTACCCTGATCATTAGAACCAAGATGGTCCTCCACTCCTACCACATACCTCCCTCCATGGGTAGGCACATGACCAGACACTGGGTAATCTGGAAGGACTTCTCCTTCCAGAGGAGGGACAGGAACATCCAGCTCTGAAGGTTCTGGCCCTGCATCGGGGTAGGGCTGACTGCTTCTGTTCCCAAGATCTTCCTTGCCTGGAGTCAGGAAAGCTACATCTGCCCTCAGAGGAGCCAGGGTTCTGGTACCCATCTGATCCAAAAGCTTCACTGGGTCCTTGAAATCCAGGACCTCTACCTCTCCCACAGATGCTCCCTGTTTGGTTTGAAGGTCCAAGGAAGCTGATTCTGTCTCCCAATAGGGTGACCAGTCACCACGGTGTGGCAAAGGAGAAGCCTGGTTAGGATCTGGAGACAAGGTCCCACTTTGGACAGGGCCTGGATCAGACTTTGAATTGAATGATACATCAGTTCTGCTGTGGCCATCCAAAGCCACCCCTGGTTCAACTGGTGGGTATTCAACGTCCTCTTCATTCTCATCGTAGTAATCAAAATTGTCCTCAGAATAGCTCTCCAGGGCTGCAGCTTGGCTGAAGGAGTGCTCCAGAGAAGCTGAAGAGTGGGCTGCAGAAAGGTCGCCTTCAACTGTTGCTGGCCTGACACTGTCCAGGGGAACCCTGCTGCCGATATGAAAAGCCCATGCTCCAGGAATCCCCAGGTTACTTAGTCTAAGAACAAAGGAGAGAGCTGATTGTGACATGTCCACTTACTCAACCTCCTTCACAGTTCATTTTGAAACCAAGACTATAAAGACAAAAGTGAGATTTTCCGTAATGTAGATCAAACAGAAAGAAACCTTTCAGGTAAGTCACTAAAACAGCATACTGAAATTTGCATATAAGTTGCCTTTTGTTCGACATCATGCATGCAACTCTAAACCATCAGGTTATAAATCTGCTTTACAACCAAAAACCAAATATTTTATCTAAAATCTGGCTTTCTCTACTTGAATGAAAACTTAAAAGATACCCTAAGCTACTTAAGTGTAAGCCTCTTCAACCACTTAAACAATATCGATTCTTATATGTTTTGGCCCAGCCTGCACCAAGTGCTTACCACTGTACTCTGCAAGTCTTCACTGTATTCTGCAAGTTAGGGGTAGTTGCTATGCCCAGTTTTACAGAGGAAGATTTAAGTAGCTTTAGAGAGGTTAGCTAATCTTAAAATCATACATCTAATAGCTGGCAGAGTGTTAACTACAAAGCCTGCATTCCAAACATCTACATTAAATTACACTGGAAACCAGTATCTGGTGAATAAGAAGAAGTTATTCATAAGAACTAATCTACTAATGATAGAGGATGATACACGAGTATTTTTTTAAGTCCAAGTCTAACACAATAAGTGAAATGTATTTATCAAAATGAGTTACAATTTATTTGGCAGAGAGGACCATGAACCTTCTCAGATTCCAAGAATCATTTCTCTCTTTTCAGAGGAGTTTCACCAGATAGCCCAAGCTGGGCTCAAATTTGAGATCTTCTGCTGGGATTATGAGTACATGGCATCCTTGCCAGTTCATGGGGACACAGTGAAGAGGACAGCTATGTGTGAGACTCCGAACCCGAAGAGAAAGCTGGAGTTAACAAGGCTCTGGGAAGTTTGAAGTAGCCAGTTACATTAGTCCAGGGTTTGCACACAGCTCTCCAACGCTACAGAACATCCTTAGAAATGAACAATGAGTAGTAAGAATGAACAGCTAATAAGAAAATTAAAAATTCACTAAATTGCACAAGAGATCTTTGTCCCTTTGGGCAGGTATTCATCATTCTAATCTAGATTTCTACAGCAGTAATGTTTGGTACAGTTTGAGGCTCTTTTTATTTCTGTGTCTTTTCATCCCGTGCCCAAGTGCACATTTGTTATTACTGCTGTACTGATCATTTATTGCCAGCTTGATGCAAACCTAGACATATCTGAGAAGAGGAAACTTCAATTAAGGAATCCCCTCAATCACACTAGCCTGTAGGTAAGTCTGTGGGATATTTTCTTGGTTAATGACTGATGGGGGTAATCACTGTGGGTGGTACCACCCTAGGGTACCAACCAAGCCAATAGTGATGTTTTCCCATAGTTTCTGCTTCAGTTCCTGTCTCACTCCAGGTCCTTGTCCTGACTGAGTGCCTGTGTTGGCTTCTGTCAATGCACTGTGACCCAGGATATACAAGCCAAATAAACTCATTCCCCCACAGGTTGCTTTTGGTCATGGTTTTATCACAGCCACAGAGGGCCACTGTACCAGTTTATGTGGTACTGAAGATCAAACCAGAGCTTTATGTCCACCAGCAAGTGTTCTACCAACAGACTTCCCTCCTACCCTCACTTAGCATGTTTAGAGAAATCAATGTTGTAAATGAACAACACCAAAGAAGACAGAAATCCGGGCTCATAAAATGGCTCAGCAGGGAAACCTGCTTGTCAACAAAAGCTGAGAGCTATACCCAGATTCCACATGGTGAAAGGGCAGCAAAAGCTCCCACAAACTGCTCTCCAACACAGATACTCCCCCAAGCACCCCCCAACCACACAGTAAGTATAATTTTAAAAACTGAAAACCATCAGTAAGAGAAACCCCTAGAGCTTGAGCTCATCCCCCAAAGTGTAACAATTGGGAAGCCTCTCGAATTTGGAAATGGACAGCTATAAAAGCTTCAAGGAGTAGGAAAATACAAATTATGAAAGAGTAAAGCTAAATAAATGCCTTCTAATGAGACATAAATCAATATCTTGCAGTTTGCCCCGGTGCCTGATGGGAAACTAAGCAGTTAGTTTATCCTACACTTTGAGGTTGTTTGGAATGCTTCCTGATGGAATTTGTCTCCTAGAAAGAAAACTTGACTGTAAAATGGGATGACTGCACTTTCCTGCCTGAATTCTTAGGAAGAACACATTAGAAAATCCACATTAAAGGCCCAGCACAGGCCGTGTGGGCATCACTTAATAATTACCCTCTTCCCTTCTTAAATGCAGATAGCTAGATATTCAAAGGAGCACTGAAAACATGAAGAATGTATGACCTTCTTCATTTGACCTTCGTTTGAGAAGGAGATTCTAGGACTAGGACAAGGATCTTCTCTTTGGAGATGCAGCAGAGTGTTCCGAGAGAACCAGGATTATGCTTGTGGACTACTTTAGTTCACAAATGGTGTCCCCACAGTATTGGGCAGATACGGTACAATGTTTAAACCCATACAGTGATAATGTAGACGGAATCTGGAGCACAGAGGCCTAGAAGGTAGTGTCAAGCATGAAAGCACTGAGGCGGAGGCAAACCCCGTTCTGGGAGGGCAGGTAGCATTGCTGTCACTTGAAGAGGTGACAGGCAATTTTGACATTGATTTCCTGTTATTCTATTGTTTGTATTTTATTTCATTTTTATTAAGCATGAAGTACACCAAACCTATCAGTAATTCTGGTCACATCTCACTCTGTCCTTCTCTGGCAGCTCTAGTTATCTCTGGAAAGTATCAAAGAAAGGAATGAACTATTAGGAGTGGGTGGATGGCAAAGTGTGTGCATGCATGGGTATGAGACCCATGTGTGAGGGCCTTTATAGCTCTGGTAGGGAAACACAACTGCTTTTCCTCATAGGCTCTTTGTACACACAGACACATGTGCGCACACACACTCTCTCATACACATGCACCTGCTTCCTGTGCCCATGCAGATGCCAACTCTCTTTCCAGGATTCTGTGATTCCTGGCACTCCTTCCCAGGTTTTGTTGGTGTGCAGAGTCTGTGCCTTAAAAATCGTAGTAATGCACACTGCTTTGTAGAAGGTCCAAGGCCCTCCCTACTATATCTAGGCTGAGCAAGGTATACATCCAAAGAGAATAGGCTCCCAAAAAGCCAGTTCATGCAGTAAGGATAAATCCTGGTGTCACTGCCAGTGGCCCCTCAGTCTGCCCCCAGCCATGCTTGTGCTCTCTGAGGATTGGAAGGGAGTGGAGTGGAAGGGTGTGTGAAGGGAATGGGAGGAGAAGAGGGAGTGGGAACTTGGATTGGTATATGTTTTTTTTTTAAAAAAAATTAATAAATTAAAAAAAGCGAAAAAAATCATAGTATGTGCTCTACCCTCCTTCCATGGGCTGTACACACAACCTTGGGACTGGGCTCCTGGTTAGCAGATGAAAAGAGAGAGGGCAGATGGCATGTAGCTAAGTTTGTTCTAGAGTCTAGACTATCCAGCAGGGGAGGAGACCTGCATATGCCCCACATGGGTCTCAAAAGGATACAGAGGCTCTGTCTAAAATTTAATCATATTTCAGGGCTTCAGATCTGGGCTTGACTATAGCTTGGCCATTATACGCTGACACAGGCACCTTACTAAATTTCTGTGAGGTGATTCAAAAATTGAGAAAATAGCTCTCCTTACTGCCTATAAGTCAAGTGAAATTTAATTAAGATAACATCTGCAAATGTTTTGTCACAATGCTTAGCAGATAATAAGTGACCAAGAAATTTCTGCTGAGTTCTTTCCAGCTCTCTCCAGTTGCTAGGAACAAGAGATACATGCACAAGAATAAGGTTTTCCTATAAGTGAGGATTCAGTGTGACTGAGAAGCAGCTATGGGAGACCATGAAATAACTAATGTGGGCTAAGCCAGTGTTCCAAAAAGGAAAGACCAAAAGAGCCCACCTGGAGTCAATAAATTCATTCGAGCACTAATGGGACAGACAAATGCAAAATGGCCTAGTGCCCTGCTAACAGAATAAGCCATTGGGAAGAGTAAGAAGCAGGCTTGCTTCTGGCAATGCTGTGCGCAAACCTATCACCATGATTTTGGGCAATGAAGTCAGAGGAGAAATCCTGAGATTTCCAAAAGCCCCATTCACTCTTCCCGCAAATTATATTACTCATAATTTAATCTTCAACAATACTTATCTGAAACACCAAATCACAATGCTTCCTCCTGAGTAATAATTAACCTGGAAAGCCTCCACTGAGACAGTTATTACTAAATATTTTTATGTGGCTCCAAGAATAATGTTTTTCCTAGCAAGCCCCAATGGTTCTGCAAGCACATACATAACCGCTGCTGGTTCTGGTTCATATGCCTAACAGCACAGGAAAATAAAGAATATCTTGGAGAGCATGGAGCTCCAGGGCTGAGCTTAGAATCTGGATTTGACCCAGTGCGTTTTGTAGAAGCCACCAAGCTTGTTATGAAATGATCTCTGGCCATTTGAGATCATGTCCCTTCTAAATGTCCTTCCAATGGAATAGCACAGGCACACACTCCACATAACTTACTGGTAGAGATTTTTCACAGACTGCTCAGTGTTCGTCAGGCTGAAATATGGCACTTCTCTCTTCAGGTCATCTGCCTCCCCTCGGCAGAAGCCCACCCTAGCAGGAAGCTGCAACTGGACATTGTAGGACTCTTTGGGACGGGTTCCAAAGAACTGAAGGCCATTGGCAGGATAGAGAAAGAGGGCGTAGGTATCAGATCCATCAGATGCCAGAACTGCCTGGAAAGTGTTCAGCTGTGGACAAACAGGAATTTCAAACAACCTTAAGCAAACAAATAAACGAAAGAAGAAAACAGAATGTAGGCAAGATGCCAGAGTCCAAATTCCTTTTTAGGATTTCTACATACTGGCTTAAAAGACATTCTCTTTTAGAATTTTCTCTCCAAACTACAAATATAATTTTTCAGCTATGCAAGTTGCTATTCTAAACCTCTTCTACCGATTTAGATCAACAGTTGGATTATTCACAAGTAAAACACTGGTTAAGAAACTCCAGGGTTGTAGGGAAGAACAGGGGATGACAAAGGGAAAACCAACACTAGGGATGCTTGAAAAAGTCATAGGGAACCCTACTTGTCAAAACATACACACAGCAAAAGTTTACATGGGGGTAATGCTCCTCCCATCAGCCACAAATTGTCAAATAAAAAGCCCAGCGAAAGCTGGGCAGTGATGGGGAATGCCTTTAACCCTAGTGATGTGTGGTTCTTATTTGTATGCTGGGAATATGATTGGTTAATTAATAAAGAAAATGTGGCAATATAAAGATTAATAGAAATGAGTTAAATTAATATGTAATAGTTAGCCAATAAGAAGCTAGAGCTAACAGGCCAAGCAATGATTTAATGAATACAGTTTCTGTGTGATTATTTTTGGGCTAAGCGGCCAGGAACCAACAAGCGGCCTCTTTGCTGCTACAAATTGGTGCCCATGTGGCCAACTAAAATCCACTTAAAACCTGAGAAAGGTTGGGAAGAAATTCTAGGGAAAAAAACAAAACAAAACAAAAAACAAACAAAAAAACAGAGTTAAGCAGGGTTTTGATGTTGCAGCTCCTTTAAGAGAGGTGTTCCTGACTCAATGTTAGCAGGAAAAAAGTTGTGCCTTTTTGAAATGCCGGCTTCCTGGGCCATGCTGCCAGTATGACCTCTAGCTCTTTCAGGAGACCGAATATTTGGATGGGGTTTGTGAGAAGCCTACTGTGGCTTGCTTGATGGCAACATGAACTGAGTGTGTGCCTGGAAGTGGGGCCGTATGTGTGGCTCTTGTAAGCAGCAAGCAGCTCCGCCATGTTGGAATGGTCAAGGCTAGCAAGAAGTGCCATATATACCCTAGCAATGTCACAATTTAGATTCTTAAGCGCTTAGCATTTTAAGAAATGCTTCTGGTCAGAAAATAATTACAGATATGCAATAAAGACAGACTCAGATAAAAAAGTTCTCTAAATGGGTCACAGTGTTGGAGAAATGTTGGGAGAGAGAAGAACGAGTATACAAAATTATAAAAGGAGGTAAATGGTTTATAAAAAATAAAACAGTCTTTAAAGAGACAGTAAATATTAAAATGTAATAGAATAAAAAATAAAAAGCTACATAAAGATGGAAAATACACAGAGTCTGGATTATTATATTATTATTGTGCTTTCTTTGAATTTTTTGATTGTGAAGGAGTTAAGTACAGAGAGACATTTTGTTGTGTGGGTCACCTTGAACACCCCTCAAAAAATTGCTTCATCCAATAAATGGCAGGAAGCAGTTTGAAGAAAAACTACACCCATATTCCAAATATGGTTTATAAATGTTTCTTCACATTTAAAGGGAGCTATGCATAGAGATTTGTATTTGTATGAATATAGCTCTACTGATACAAATTTAAGGTCAATTTTGTTATATTATATTTCTGCTCTTGATTAAGGTATTGTGTTTGTGCAGCTCATTTAAAAATGTAATGTATAATTAAGAAATATAGGTTAATAGATAATCAACTATAATAGTCAAGTGTGTAGTCATATTAGGTTTTCTAGATATATAGAGATATATTTCAGTTAGATAAGTGTTCTTCAAATCTTTCAGAGACCTTCAGAGTATGGCATTTAAAATGTTTAAGAACTTAGGACTTTTAATGACAATGAGACACGTCTGCTCTTGGCAGCACCAATTACTTCAAGAAGATTATGGGTATTGAAGAGTCTTCTTATGGAGTTGATTAGCATTTGGGCAAAAAACTGCTCTTTCCTGAACTGCTTGATGAACTGGACATGGAGGATCCACAGAGAAATGACTGCTGAACTTGCCTAAAGGTGAGACCAACCTTCAGGTCTTCATGAAAGAGTCTGCCAGACATTCTGCAGGATACAGAAGAAAGTGACTGACAAACTGCCAATATAGGTGATCCTGTCTTTGAAATTTCCTGCTTCACAGAAAAGTCTGCCAGATACTATGGGTTTGTAGGCTGAAAATGGTACAGAAGAACATAGGGTGACAGTCTCTGTCAATTCTAGAGTTTTAGAAGTTGCTTATAATGCACTTCCTGTTTACTTAGGTAATATTATATCCTTCTGGAGTTTTTGATGGACTTGAAGAATAGATATAGTTATAGTTTCCCTTAGATATGATAAAAGATAAAGTAGATATAAATATTATAACTGTAATTCTTGCTTGATACCTGTCTTGTTATATGTAATTTTTTTTCTTTCTTTTTTTTTTTCAAGACAGGGTTTTGCTGTAGTTTTAGAGCCCATTCTGGAACTAGTTCTTGTAGACCAGGCTGGCCTAGAACTCACAGAGATTCACCTGCCTCTGTCTCCCAAGCGCTGGGATTAAAGACGTGTGCCACCACTACCTGGTTGTTATATGTAATTTTACTACATTAAAGTTAAAACCTTCCTTTTTTATTTAAACAGAAAAGGGGAGGTGATGTGGGATTCTCCTATGCATGCTGTGTACATGACTGGTTAATTAATAAAGAAAACTGGCTTGGCCTGATAGGGTAAAAGAATAGAGGTAGACATGGAAAACTAAACTGAATGCTGGGAGAAAGAAGGGCAGAATCAGAGAGAAACCATGTAGCCCTGCCAGGGCCAGATGGAACTTTAGCCGGTAAGCCACAGCCATGTGGTGATACACAGATTAAAATAAATGGGCTAAATTAATATGTAACAGTTAGTAACAGTTAGACAATAAGAAGCTAGAGCTAATGGGCCAAGCAGTGATTTAATGAATACAGTTTCTGTGTGATTATTTTGGGGCTAAGTGGCTGGGAACCAACAAGTGGCCTCCTCACTGCCACACCCCAGCATTTGTGAGGCAGAGGCAGGTAGAGCTCTGTGAGTTCGAGGCCAGTCTGATCTACTGAGTGAGTTCCAGAAGAGCCAGGAATACACAGAAACCCTGTCTCAAAAAGACAAACCAAAAATAAAGAGCTTAGTGCCAGGTGTAAGATACTTCCCCAACAAGTTGGTCAAGGGTGTCACCCATATCAATGCTGGTTCTGGTCATTGCTCAAGGTTACCCACCAGAAAGTGATCTAAGAAGGTCCTATAAGTGATGACACTACACATGTAGGTCAAAGAACTTGGAGAAATCAACCCAGTACTAACCACGAGCTTCCACCTGTTAGCACAGGCTACTGAGGGAGAAGCGAAATCAACAGTCTCACCCTATAGAGACCACTGAGAGAACTACAAAACAAAGGCTCTGACAAGATGTACTTGTGGACTGGGCAGTGGTGGCAGTGGCACACGCCTTTATTCCTAGCACTTGGGAGACAGAGGCAGGTGGATCGCTGTGAGTTTGAGGCTAGCCTGGTCTACAAAGTGAGTTCTAGAACAGCCAAGGCTGTTACACAATGAAGCCCTGTCTGGGGGGCAGGGAAAGAGATACACATGGGTGTAGTAAGAGGCATGAGTGTTATGAGGATAATCAACTTCTTTCTGGGTGGATTTAAGGCCTGCTTAACAAGAGGAAACTTCTGCTTGGTATTGTAAATCTGGTCAAGAACTCATGGCTGGGGATGCTCATAAGCCTGACAGGTAAACTTATGGCTATTATTTTGTTAAATGGATATAATATCAAATTGCCTTCTAAATACCCATACTTTTAAACCCATTTCTCAGTACATGGGAGCATCATGTATAGACTGGATGGTATTTCATGTATAGTCTCAAAACTAGTCCAAGTACAGAGAACACACTATCTGTGGAGTGCTTAGCCACAGGTGGTCCCATCTACAATATCTATTTGGTGCGGGAGAATTGTCTGTATTCTGTCAATCATATTTTAATAAAATACTGATTGGCCAGGCAGGCAGTATAGGCAGGAAAGCCAGACAGGAAGTAGGGGTGGAGCAAAGAGACTGGGAGTATTCTGGGAAGCAGGAAGCTCCCTCTGCCACTCCTGCACAGACCACCAAAGAGGCAACATGTAAGCTGTCACACTGAGAAAGGTACTGAGCCCATGTGGCTAACATAGATAAGGATAATGGGGTAACATAAGTTATAAGAGCTAATAAGTAGCCTGACCTAATGGGCCAATCAGTTTATAATCTTATAGAGTCCTATGTGTAATTTTTCTTTGGGGTTTGCCGGTTGTGGGGTACTGGGCGGGACAGAAACCCCAACAAGCCGGCCTTCATGTTACATCTATTTCCTTCAAGGTTCAGAGAACATCACAGAAAAAGAGGTGGAAGGAGTTTAAAAGCCAGAGGTCAGAAGGAAGGGGTCAAAACAATGACCTGTGGATATGATGGGGCTACCAAACTCATGAATGCACAGCACAAGCAGCTGAGCGGATACTGCCAGCTGATGGCTGGTACGGGAGGAGGAGTCAGTTTTTTTTAAAGAATGTGGTCCCTGGCGGGTGAGGAGATCTGGCTCCAGTGGGTGGCCCCTCACCCATGCCCATATGGGCTGCACTAATTGTACTTACTGGGTCAAATAAAGGGCATAAAGTTGAGAATGGACAGGAGCAGAGGAATATATTGAAAATACATTGTGTGAATGTGTGAAATTCTCAAATAACTTTAAAATAGTATACTTAAAATTTTTAAGGCTGCAAGTTTCTCCAGTCCAATCTTTTTATCCTTTGTTTTAAATTTAATTATGTTTTTTTTTCATTTTACATTTCAACCCCAGTTCCCTCTCCTTCCCTCCCCCCTCCACCCCCCCCCCCCCAGTCACTCCTCAGAACAGATAAGGCCTCACCTTATCTGTTACCAAAGTTACCAAAATCTGGGAT